CGACCGGCCCCGAAGCATTGTCGTCCAGAAAGGCAGCCCGCTGATGTTCCCTTCGCGAGAAAAAAAAAAAAAAAAAAAAGAAAGCGAAAATTGTGTGTTCATTATTAACGATCAAACGTTATATCTTTCTTTGAATTCGTAGCAATTGGAACACCAGAAAATGAGAATACAAGAACAAGCTTCGGACAAGTTGAATACGAAGGAAAGTCCTAAACAAGAAGCGGCTCTCGAATCGTCTTCTTCCTCTTCTGTCTCTGTCACTACTATTAATTCCACCATTACCACCAACATTTCTATCACGACCACCGCCAGCATCACCACTTCTCCCATCGTCACAACGTCCTCTTCTACGTTTTCAGATAATCTTGCACTTTCTCGTCTTGGATCGGTTGAATTGTCATTTCAACCGCAGCTCGGATCAGAGTTTTCACAAGCTTTTCCTGAATTTCAAAGTATCACCGAAGAGAAGGAAAAAATAAGGCCAGTTTTACCAACAAATTGCGATGCCGCAGCATTTATTAATCGTACGTTCTTTCACCAAACGCGTATGTTTAACATCCACGTATACTGGGAAATCATACTTTTTTTTTATCAGAATTTATTCATGCACGACAATCTTACGCACACTTTTCTCCTCTTTTCTTTCTTGTTTTGTTCTTTGACTTTTAGAGAACGTGGGAGGTATAGCTGTAACGAATCTCGAAAATTCACCAATATTACAGGCCGATGAAGCTGGTTCGGTCACTTTGCCGGTTTACTCTGGCGATCAGACACTTACACCGGTATTGTATATCATATGTATATCATGCTGCCAAGTTGTTGATGATGAACTTGAGCAAAAAACAGTTTGTTGCAAATTTCTATTTCGCTTCGGCAGGAAAGTATACGAGAGATAGAAGAAACTTTAAATCAACAGTTTTTTAATATCGGAATGAACTTTAACTTGGGAGGAAGTAATCACTCGAGACATTCAAACAGTGCAAACGCGAGTGATTTTGGCCATGATATGAAAGAACAGCAGCAGCCTGTGTTGAATGTTATATATGAAAACAACAACAACAACAACAACAACAGTAACAGCAACGGCAACGTAGAAACATCCGGAGAACATGTGTTTCCGGCGCAATTAGATTCATTTGAAATGGATCATATTACTTTGCAAGTAAGATAAAGATGTTTCTACCCATGAACTATCTTCCAAAAAAANAAAAAAAAAAAAAAAAGAAAAAAGAAAAACAGAACAAATAAAAATTTTATCTGTTAGTCGGATGGTGAAATCGACATTGGATTAGATACAAGAAATTCAACTAGCATGGCGAGTATACTGCCAAGGAATATGAAAGATGAACGTCGACTGTCTGTTTGCGTTGCGACACCAGATATCATAAACGTTGAACAATCAGAAAAGTCTGGTGTCCAAGCGGTGGTATTTGTTTCTCAGTCAAATTTCTCCAAGAAGGAAAACGTAACGAACGAATTCGCTGTAGAAGAAACTCAAAAAAACAATATTCCCAAAGAGTGTACAATCAATCAAATCTTTTTTACGTAAGTACCAATGCTACTTGTCTCTTCCCATGTACCACGTGATGCATGTATGTATTTTCCTACGATGGAATTGGAAACATTCACAATAAAAACGAATATTTGATTTGCGTAGAGAAGACCTTCGGGGAACGGCGCAAGATTCGAAGGTTCAATCAAATATGCACGCACTGTCATCCAATGTTGCAGAAATCGTTGAAACCGCTACGAGTAAAATATCCTGTGAACAATCACTGTTACAATGTCACATGTGCAGCCAACAAGGATTCACAACAGTTGGTTTAAAAGTAAATATCTTATAGATAGATGCTTCCATTCTTTTTTGCCGTTTAATCGTTTTTTTTTTTTTTTGCCGCCAATTCGATCGGTATCTATTCACCTTCATGTTTGATAGTCGGTGTTGTCAAAGTTTAGCAAGTTTAGCATTTTTTTTTTTTTGTCTTTGGTGGTTTCTAAGGAACATTTGACAAGTCACCGTGGAACAAAGGAGTATCAGTGCACAGAATGCTCTTCGAAATTTTACACAAACGGTGGATTGAATAGACATTCGAAGATTCATGTGGTTAAACAGTGAGTGTCAAGAAAAGTACTACGTTGACGTGGACCATTATACTTGACCATTTCACTCTGTTACTGTTTCTCTACAGATCACTTAAATGTTCGTCGTGCGAGAAGCAGTTTAACAATAGAGTCGAACTGCGATCGCATAATAAAATTCATGAAACTTCAATGTGGAACGCTTCAGGGACAAATGCCAATGCAGATGATTCGGCGCTTTCATCGGACATGCATCAATCACGGGTTGTAAATAGTCATTTGCCAACAAGTAATATCGCAATAGAATCTGATTCTACCGTTTCGGAGAAAGTTCTACTGGATACAGTAGCTGAGAGAGAAGTAATGAATCAAGTAGAAGTAAGTTCCTTGACTGTTTCTAAAGTGTAATGCAAGTAAGAGAGATAACGAGAGATTATGATTAAACCGAATGTTATTGTACGTAGAATATATTCGTGGGGAAAAAGGAGCGAAAAGAGTATACGAACAAATGCAAGTATTGCCCAAAAACTTTTCGCAAACCGAGCGATCTTATAAGACACGTACGCACACACACCGGGGAACGACCGTACAAGTGCGATTACTGCAGCAAAAGCTTCGCCGTGAAATGTACTCTGGATTCTCATACAAAAGTTCATACGGGGAAAAAGACATTTCGTTGTCACGTGTGCAATAGTCTGTTTGCGACCAAAGGTAGCTTGAAAGTTCACATGCGTTTGCATACGGGTAAGTTGGACAACTTAAATTATCCAAGCGTACACGTCCTTATTGAAAAAAAGATATCCCCATATGTGTATAATTGGTATAAATTACTTTCTCCTCTATATGGTTTTAAATTGTTAAAAATAAATCCTGAAATTCTTTTAAAGGTTCAAAACCATTCAGTTGTCCCATTTGCGATTCGAGATTTCGAACATCCGGCCATAGAAAGGTACACTTGTTGAAACACGCGCGCGAACACAACGCAAAAAGAAAGCAAAAACATTTAAAAGTTGCGGTCATAGCAGAAGTGGCGGCTGCTCTTGAGAAATGTAACGAGAAGGAAAGGAAAATGGACAGTTTCGAGGGAAAGCAGCAGCAACTAGCGCAAGAAGAGCAACAGCAGCTTTCGCAGACGGTCGCCGGATTAACGTCTCCTTTAGAGACATATAGTATTGAAACAGCAACTTCCTGTTTAACCGATCAAATTAATTTCGACGCGGAAGCTATCGTGTCGAACAACAATCAAACGATAGTGTCCATAAACGAAAGCAATCAGTTAGTTACGAATTTACATTTTCTTTTGACAAATGGTCTTGTCACCATTCAAACCGAAGAATCATTATTGTCGCAAACATCCGCACCCTCGGTTAACAATTCGCATCATCGACCAGTCGAGGTTGCCGATGCTGGATGTGCATTATTGTCAACGTCCAGCGTTGTATCCGACACTAGCGAGCAGCATACCAAGGAAGAAATTCATATAGAACAAATGTTGAAAACGCCATCGAATAATTGCCTTTTAACAGTATCAACTGTGACACCGCCGCGACTAGAACAATGTTCAAAAGTGACTGCGGAAGAGACGTTGTCAGTGGTAGCCGATAAACCAACGACGAAAAGAAATCTGTCGAAAAAGGAGTGCGACATTTGTGGGAAAACATTCACGAAACCGTATCAAGTCGAGAGGCATAAACGAATTCACACGGGTGAACGACCGTACAAGTGTGACCTGTGCACGAAATCATTTGCTCAAAAATCAACTCTACAGATGCATCAGAAACATCATACAGGCGATCGGCCGTACGCTTGCCCGTATTGTGAATATTCCTTCACGCAGAAAGGCAATCTTCGAACACATGTGAAACGCGTTCATCAATTGGATACCGTGGACGCGAAGAAATGGAGGCGCGGCCGTCAATCCTTTCTGTCGAAAACATCATTTCAAGAAAACACCATCGAAGACAAGAGTCTAAATTTAGACAACATATCGTTTGTAGAGCTTCTGAAATAGTAACGTGTACAACCGGTACAAGAGTTATCGTTATTTTACATTGATTGAATAATATAATTTTAGAATTCTTGAAGGAAAACTGAGAGAAAATTGAGACGGGATTAAACCGATTGAACGACGGAGAAAATAATACATATATTGAAATATTCTTATCGTTGCTATTTGACGTGTTCCGTAATATATAGTTGATGCTGTCTCGCGAACAAATATAATTTATCGCCGTATAAAACATTCGCCGATTTGTATCAAAGGAAAAATAAATTTTTAACGTGCAATATCATTTTTTAACATCGAAATACAATTGCTCTTTGCCGATCTGGTGTACGAACGAACTGATGTATTAATGTTTGTAATTACATTTTGTTTCAGTTACGGGGCAACCGTCTGGATGATTTTTATAAAACCAGCAAGGTTTAGTCTTCACCCGTGGCAACGATAACTTGTTTTTCTTCGGTTTTTCGTTAATCCTTTCTGCTGCTCCAGGTACTCTGAATTCTACTCTTCCTTGAACAACGCGAAATATATGATTGTGATTTTTCAGTAAGGTTTGAAGACCCCCGCATTCTTTCCGTAAATGTATCATGGTTTCTCTAGGAATTGATTCAGCGACTTTACGCAATTCGAGACGTCTGCCAGCGTTCCAAAGTTTCTTGGGTGTCTCTTCGGTGGTTATGGCGTGACCTTCATGGAGTAACTGATTCGATACGATATCAACGATATTCGCAATTAGCGTTTTGTCCAATTGCGTACAGTTCCGTACTTTTTCCACTTTGTCCCGTGGCTTGAAGTCGCAAGTCCACTCTTCAATTGCTTCAGCTGCTTCGATTGTTTCATCGCTCGATTGGTATTTTTGTAGAGTCAGAGTTGTCTTTGCGCTTAACATTTGTTGAATACGATCTTCTCGAGTTTCAATCTCTTCGTGTGTTCTTTCCCATCCAATCAGACATGTTCGTTTTGTAGAGGGAATTCTTAATTTATCAAGATGCGTCGTGAAACCACATTGGAAACATATGTTTTTCACGTAATCAATGTACTCAGAATATTGACTTTTCGAGGCACAATATCTCTGATACTTTGCGCCATTCAGCTCGTATGGACAACAAGGCAATAAAAAGAAACGACAATTGTTGGAGCTACGCGCAGCAATTATCGGAATCCACGGTGTCAATTCGTCTGAATGATTTCCTATGATCCAGTCCACTTCTGGATATACCGTCGAAGAAGATGGAACAACAGTACAAACCTGAAATATATGTATGCACATGTATTGACATTGTAATACAAAATACGTTGTTATTAATTGTACCAGAGTTGTTGTACATTTTTGTACAAATGACGCTTATACGTACTTGCAATGGAGTTTCAGGTGGGTACATGTCCCATATTTTCCTCCTTCGTAAATCAATTCCTAATCCACGGTGACCTTCGTTGAATAAAACATGCACGAGTAAACCATTACCGCATCCCAGATCGATAAACGATTGTAAATTACTAGTCCCCGTCTCGACTCTCTCCTTCTCCCACAACAGCAACAAGTAGGCAGCGATTGCGATGTCTTCGTAAACAAATTTCATTGGATCAGTATTTTCTGGCCAGTTCTCTATCAATTTTTTGCCATATTTCTCTTTCAATTTGCAATACAGTTCTGCATATTTTTCAGCCGATACGAGATTTAACGAAGACAACGGGATCGATGTCCTTTTACAGTCACTGCTTACCGCCCACTTCAGGATACATGGGAACAGTTTTTGCTTTAACCATTCAATGCTGAAATCGGACATAACGTTATTCGGTTGATAGACACTAATGGATGTGAAACCGTCTCCTCCTTGTTGTAACATAAATGCCATTCTAGCACCAAGAGGTTGTTTATATGAGGAAAAGGGTTTGTGGACATTTATTACGCAACTTTCTTCGACACACGATAAAAAAAATTCGACACCAGTGGAAAATATGTGTGGCGTACGTGGTAATTGTTTTACCACGTACACGTGGATCTTTCGGCTGGCTGTTGTAACAGCCATCTGCTGATCGAAAGTGCGTAGTACATCCAATAATTTTACGTTATCAATGTTATCCTTTTGACAATCCGTACCTAAAGTTGAAACGTCCAAGGTATTGATATGCTGAAAAACTTGAGAAATGTCGCAGTAAACTTCAACGTTCAGTACTTCGATTGATGCAAGAATCCTACGGTTTACAGTTTGAGGATTGCGACGCCATATACCGACAGCTTTGAAAAATTGCAGTGCGTTGATCCCGCTTTGATCGCGTATTATGGTCTTGAAATCCATATTTTATACGATACAATTGTAAATCCTTTTATTAAAGGACAAGTTACAGAATCTTGCACCTAGTGAGCATCTAGTATCAGCGGGAGTAGTACCTTTATTTTAGCGCTCGTTACTTTGTTGGCGTTCTTGTTCCTTCTGACTTTGTGTACTAAAAATCATAGTGAAATACAGATTATTACATTGTATGCAAAAGAAGCACGTGAGCAAGAAACATTTTATATTATATACATATATTGAGCTTGACATACCTTTTTAACGACCCAATCTGCATCTTGTACTGCCTTTTCCATTATTTGCTGAACACGTTCCTTGTCTGGTTCGATCACATGCTGTTTGAAACTCTGGGAGCAACGTGAAGTGAACGGAAAAATAAAATAGGTTAGGCGTGGAACATTTGGTTGATGATGCCGATTAGATAAATAAATGCCGAACTTACTTTTCAAATTTTTTAACGTGAAATACAATTTAATACCTGCTTAATCGAATGTCTGTAAAATCCTTGTGCTTCCTTCGGTAATTTTCCGCATTCTCGCATCAAAAATTTGTACAGCTGTTTCGGCGATTTTAAAGCTGCCTCTCGTAACTTTGCACTGGCCATCTCAATGAAAAATTACAAAACAGATAGTGAGAAACAATAATTTTTTTTTAAATCATATGCAAACAATATATCGTGTAATTTTCAATGAAAATATATTAAGAGAGCAAAGTTATAACATCATTTACAGCTTGCCTTTCTCCTTTCATTCTATTTTTAACTGAAATTGATAGAATTTCTTCAAAATAGCGTAGATACAGGAGAAAACAAATTGCCTCTTTTAAACAAATGAATTTCAACTTGACAAGTGAAAGTGATAACATAGAAAAAGGTTATAATTAGTACGATTTAAATAAAATTACGAGGTCGGCTACTTTGCATAATAACATGTGAAAGAATATAAGAAATTCGTAAATTTTCTCACAGAGCTGTGAACATATGCAGGTATGTATGTATGCACACCTAAAGCTAAATAAAGTTAAAAATGCTCAAGTTTGGAGGCGCTGCATGCCATTTTTTAGAAACATTCGTTGCATTGCAGAAAGCACGTACGTATCGTTAAGAGTGAGGTTAAAGCGTTATGATAAATTTACATCGATATAAGGTGGTGAAGATTTTATTGAAATGTTGTTGGCGAACAAACATAAATTGGACAGTAATTCGGTTAAAAACTGACGAGAGACACCCTACTGCCGGAATAATTGGTAACATTGACATGTACACTTTACTGCTATCGTGTATTTACTTGCGTAAATATCTCATTTTCCTTGACATTAAATTCACTTTATTTTACTTAGTAATAGGAGATGAAATTCTGAAAGCGCAAGTGAAAGATACCAATTGTTTTTATGCGTGTAAGCTGCTTTACAAACATGGAGTCAAGGTTCAGAAAGTAAGTACAACTTGATCCGAGAAAGTACACCTTTCTGTTAATGCTATCTTTTATTTCAACTGTTTTTTTTTTTTTCATAGATTGCGGTCGTACGAGACAACCTTGAAGATATTTCCAAAGAGGTAAAATATTTTTCCAAAATGTTCAACTACGTTTTTACATCTGGCGGTATTGGCCCAACTCACGACGATGTTACGTACGAAGGTAATGTCTTTTTTTAAAAATTCTTAAGGGTACGTAGTAAATGAATATGAAAATGACAATGAAATTGCATTTGACAGCTGTAGCATTGGCCTTTAACGACTCGTTGCATTATCATCCAACATTGGTGAATATCATAGAAAATTATTTCAAAGCTGGAACATTTCCCTCGCCTGCTTATAAAATGGCACATGTAAGTGACAATTCAAATGGTAAAGTAGTACCAAGTAAGCCATATGATCGTACGTTGATGTCGTTTTGATAGTTATTGAATTTTTAGATACCGACTAAATCTGTGCTTAGATTTGGGACAAACGAGATCACAGGTAAAAAGCTTACTTATCCGTTTGTAATGGTGGAAAATGTTTATATTTTTCCTGGTTCGCCCACATTTTTTGAAACATCCTTTCAGACGTTATGCAAGGTACAATATGCTTGGACAGTAGTTTGATCGTTAACAGAGAGAAACAGAGAGCAGAAATAGTCTTGTTTTTGTAGGAATGTTTTGCCAATTACAAAAGTTTTGCAGCAACCGAAGTTTACATAAATGCAAAAGAGGAATCGTTTGCAGACGTTTTGTATGCAATTGCGCGAGAATGTCCAAATGTTACCTTTGGCTCGTATCCGGAATATAACAGGTAATAAAATTAATTGCAATGTGGGAAACGATGCAGAAATTTGTAGATAATCGAACGTTCTCCTTCTTAGGTATTACAAGGTGCGTGTAACGATCGAAAGTGAAAATGAAAAAGACACCGAAGCAGCAAAAACAATGTTCTGTAATCGTATTCCGAGAGATGTTCTGGTACATTACGATCGCACGCCACACATAGACTGCACGTCAAAGTACGACGCACTGATTCAAAGGTCCCAACGTCGATCAGTTTATGAGCGTTCCTTCAAGAAATTCGTGTAATGCCTCTACAACTGGAAAAAAGTATCGATTATTTGTATCGGCTGTAAGACGCCATCGAATTTTTCTTTGTTTTCTTTTTCTTTTCCTCCTTGTAGAAATTATTATGAGAAACCTGAGCACGTTTGGATATATTTGGACGGCAGCGAGGAGTCAGTTCTTATGGTACATCTTGCTCGAATCGCTAGTGACAAACTGCGACATTGTTCAAAGCTGCGTACAATTTGTCTTGAATCGGATATACAGAAGATGGGTACTGATGAATTTATCCATGAGCTTAAGAACAGGTAGGTACAATATCGCTAAAGCGAATTTTTGCTTTAAATTGCCTTACCAACCAATCACGTGACGCGTGAAGCTGATTTTTGGTTGACCTGTTAGATATAATATCGAGATGTATAAATTGGAATGCAAGGAAAGAGACGCCGTTTGCACAATAAGTAATTTTGCTGCATTAAAACCAGAATTACGAGTGTTGCTGGTTGGAAAACGACTGAATAGTAAGAAAGAAACGTACAATGATATTGCACGATTAAACGGCGATTATTCTTCGTTTGTGCAAGTACATTTTCCTCTCATTGATTGGACAGACGACGACGTCAGAGATTTCTTTAGTTGGCTCTGTTTACCTTACAATAGAACTGAAACTTAATAAAATCGGTAAGAAAATAAACAAAAGTTCCTCTGTTCTTATCTCACTGGCTGACTTGCTCTCCTGTTTCATCTCCCGTTTCTTCTTTTCTTCCCGTCTTGATTTGTTTTTGATCGTGTTTGTACGTGTACGTAACTCGTTCCCTATATTTATAACAATTTATTTTTGTAGGTACAAGATAGAAAAGATAGCAAATTAAGAAAAAGTCAGAAAAAGATGACAATTGTTTTGGATTTAGGATCGAGATAGCTGTGAAATTTTGTATCTGTCGATTGATTCAGTATCGAGTTATTGTATGACCAGTGATCTTCCTTTATACAAAAAGGAAATTAATAAAAAAGAAATTCACGCCAAAGTTGTTCAAAATCGTATTAAAATTAGATTATAATCGAAAAATTACCAGAAATTGTTAAAGTTGCATTTCTTTATTCTTTAATCCCTGATTATCACGAGAACAGCGAGATTTGTTTGGAAGGAAACACATGGTTCAGGTATCTAATATGTGCATGTATACACATTAATTTGAAAACGAAAAGTTGAACGTTCAAAGTTTTGATTAACGCGCTTAAATCGTTTTTACCGCCGAAACTGTGTCATTCCTTTTTAATTGAGAGTCGAGTTGAGCCGAGTTGAACCGAGTTGTGGCTTCAGATTTAAAAAAAAAAAATAGCACCTGAAATGTCATTTCAAATTGAAATATTTTTGGCTTCTTTCCCCTTTGAAAAACGCATATCGCGCGATATTTTTCTCCGTGCTAATTACAAAAATGCAAGTTTTTCTTCTTTTTACGTTTACGTTTGCGTCATCTTTTCCAAGTATCATTCTTTTAAATGATCGTTTACGGATCAGTTAATGTTTTAAACGCTATACGTATGACGGAATTGCGTCTTTCTCTTTTTATTGGTTTTTGTCGAAAATTTAGTAAAATAACAAATCCGAAAAAAGAAGCAAGCAATAGTAGTTGCAATTGCGATAAAAAAGAAAAATTGGACGAGGTAATCCACGAGCGAAACGAAACAAAAAAAGAAATTGAGTAGTAGTAGATGGAAAAAGTTGAGCGAGGAAAGAAGAGATGGCGAGGGCGGACGGGCGGTCGGGTGGGACGGAGGTTGGCAGAGAGGGAGGGAGGGAGGGAGAGGTTGGGTGAGAGGAGGGGGACGGAAATGAGCCTCATATTTCACCAGAGTATTTCATTTAAGTTTGAAATTGATTGCACGAGAGTAGAATAGAACAGAAAGAACCCGATGATACAAGGTTGATGAAAGACAGAATACAAGCTGTCTAACTGGTTGGCTAACTGGTTATTTAACTGATTGATTTGCTGTATAGCTCGTTCATCGCCATTGACTGACCGACAACTGAGCGATTGATTAATCGGCAAACTGACTGTAAGAGGTTCTCGACTGATTAGCTGGTACGTAGCAATGACTCGCGAAAGAAGGAACGCGTTGAACGTGTAAAAAGCTGTAAACGCGTGATTCTCTTCTTGGTTCTTTTTATACGACGATCGTATGGAAATTATTATTGCAGACAAGGACGATTGTTGCGCGTCAAACGGCAAAATTCACAAGACGAAAATTACTTGATACCTAGATACGTGGATGCATACGTATGTACATCGTGCCAAGCGTCATACAAGTGCAAACAAAGATCAAGCTTTTTGCGACACGTGGAAAACACAAAGAGGGAATTTGTAACGTTTAAATATTAAAAATGATAGGATGGAGGAGATTAGATGGAAGCTCGAAGTAGGGAAAGTAGAGGAGCTCGAGAGATCGAGCAAAGAATGACGATGAGCATTGTGAGGGACGGGGTGGGGGGGGGAGAGGAGAGCTGGTTTGGGTTGTTGCGTAATCGTGAACGTGAAGCTGCCGAAGATGAGAAGGACGCGGTGATAATCGTAACGGTAAAGTAGTGGCGACGATGACGTTGGCTTGGCGCTGGTGTTGGCCGTAGCCGGTGACGGTAGCGGTGACGGTGACGGTACGGCGACGGTGACGGCGACGAAGGTGACGGTGACGGTGACGGTGACGGTGGCGGTGGTGGCGGTGGTGGCGGTGGTGGCGGTGGCGGCGGTGGCGGCGATGGCCCAGACCGACGGCATGGTCGATGGCAATGGTCGCGTGCTGGTCGCGTGCCGGAGGCGGAGCCAAGCTTCGACTCTCTCGCGTGCCACCTCCACCCTAAAGTTCGCGGTCCCTGTTGCACCCTCCGACACCCTCCCGGAACAGCGGGGAGCTCTTCTACTCGACGCGACGCCCCTCGGTACTCTTTGGTTCCTCGCATCTCCCCTTCTCTCCACCAGTTCCCGAATCTACAGTCGCTTTCTCGTCGGTTATTGATTCCCTCGGGTAGCTAGTCCCGAAAAGGGTGCTAAAATAGGATGAGGACGATTGAAAGAACGAAAGCGAGAAGACGCAGAGAAAAGAAATTCGACGATAAATACGATATAGAGTTAACGCGTTCTAAAAGTAAGAACGAACGAACGATCACTCTATTAATTTTTCTTTTTGCTCTTTTTTTCCCTTGTTTCTTTTCGTTGTCTCATTATCGTTGTTGTTGTTGTTGTTGTTGTTGTTATCGTTACTGTTAGTACCTCTACACTTGTTACTTTTCGTACCGTGATCGTAATCTCGTCAAATTTCGAGCTCGATAGTTGCGAGTATTCGTTGTATGAAACAGCGAGTGATCAACTGCAATTGTTCAAAGCTAATGATTGTGAATGTCCGAAATTGCACTGGGAAATTAATTTGTTAACAATTGAAATATCGAGAAGTCAGAGTGATGGGAGGGGGAGGACTAGATCCGGGAGTAACCGGTAGATGAGCTAATCGGATCGGTGACTGGTGATGGCGCGACTTTTAGTGTCGTCTATCATCGTTGATGAGAATTTGCAGAGTGAGTGAGAGAGAGAAAGAGAGAGAGAGAGAGAAGAAGAGAGGAGAAATAACGTAGACAAGGTGTGCGCGGTTTCGTTTCGCTGTGCATACGATTGGTATAGAAAAAATGGGTAGCGACCAGGAAAACGAAGACAGTTGGTAAGGTTATTATCGAAAGTGCGCAGGAAGATACAATTGAACGAAACTCTTCGAGACGTCGATTTATTAAATTTCGTTGATTTATCTGCGACATTATCCATCCTTCGAAGTAAGTTCTTGTTTGCACAAACTTGTCGTATTGAGAGCAGCGCTCTTGAATCTCGAAACTTTGCAAACTCTCCGTCTCTTCCTCCGTTGGCTCCACCAGTTGGCTCCCCACCCGTTTCTCTTCAATGCCCCCCCCCCCCCCCCCGGTGTAACCACGGTTTCTTCCTCGTGTAAACTTGCACATTGGTATAGGCGGTACCCCCATGTAAATGGATGGATGGACCGATGGATAGACGGATAGACGGATAGACGGATAGACGAATAGATGGATAGATGGACGGATGGATAGGGAGGGAGAGAGGAAGAAAGTTGGAGAGATGGATAGATAAATAGACAAATTGACAGGTATTGGTGATATATAGGATAGATAAGTGCAGTGTTGTACGCGACGTTGGATGCACAGATAGATATTTCTATTCATCCGACAGATTCAGCTCGTTCCGCGCTCTTTTCGTTTCGGTTCTCGTCGTTTTTGTTCCGTAGCATCGCCTCGTCTCGTTGGTTGCGGTCCGGAGTTGTAGTTCCACGCGATTCAACGGCATAACCTATTTTACTTTCGAAAACTCAACGGATCAATACCAACGGGAATGCGACGAAGACGAGCGAGCGGACGAAGAGAATTGCGCAAGAGGAGGAACAACGAATGCGAACGACGTCGTTCTGGTCCGCGGCAATTTCTTCCGCGATGCGAACGAGAACCGCTATTGTCTCTGCGGCGTTTGGAGGTTAGGTTGAAGATCGATCGGCACCGATTATTTCGCGTGAAAGCGCGTACGACGGGAAAGGTTGCGTAGCCAAAATCGATCGAGCGGAATCGATAAAGATCGAGTGGCCAAAAAAGTGAGTCGCGAGAGTCGGCGACGTTGCGAGGTAGCGCAAAAACCAGCCAAGTTGCGCGGGGATACCATACGTGAGGTACTACAAATACCGGCAACCGAATCTTCGAAAAGAGTTTCGGGTTGCGGCACGAGACCGTCAGCTGGCGAGCAGAGCCGGTCTGTTCTTTCTTTCTCCTTTTTCTCTCTCTCTTTTTTTCTTTTTTTTTTTTCTCTCTTTCACTCTTCTTCTCTCGTCCTTTCAACATCCTTTTTTTTTACGTGCTCTTGCTCCCCTTCCCTCACCTAACCTCACATTCGCTCTTTAACCAGTTTTCAAACACTTTACGATTTTCTTTCAGTTTGCCTGAGATTTGCCGTTCGCTGTGATTTTTTCTTTCTTTTTTTCTTTCGGAGAAACGTTCGAGAATCGACGTACTCTCCTTCGTCGTTCGGTTGTCAGCTGTGGAAATTTCGCCGAGACGATTTCACGAACGATCGTGTGCGAAACACACGTGACGACTGACTGTATACTCACATTTTAGCGGGTATTATCTGAAGGAATTTAAAAGAGAAAGTAAAAGTTTTCCTTTTTTTTTTTTTTTTTGTTTTCTTTCAAGTTTGAACGACAGAGGACGATTCCTGCGGGAGCAGGATTTTAAACGCTGCTGGAAGAGGCTGGACTCTCGGCGACTAGATCGCGATATATCGCGCGTTAAGCGCGCTAATGTTTTTTGCGGCAGATCGCTCGGCCGAGAAAAAGCTTTGTAGAGCGTCGATGCTGCACGGTAACGATGCAAAATTTTCTTTTACGAGATTAGACGACGCTCGATTTAACCGTACAGTTCGTTTCAGCGAACGCTTCGATGAAGCGCGTCAACGTGCTGCGTCGCGACTTGCCGTGTAGCAGGCACTAGCACCACGTACCAGAGTTTACTCGATCCGATCGCGCAATCAAAAGGAGAACGGCGTCCGGCCGCGTCGCATTCCGGAAAAATTCAACGTTCCGACTTTGTCCGGAACTGCTACTGGCGCGTATCCGATCGCGTCTATCAGTCTTTTCCATCGTCTCGCTCTCGAAATGCAATTTCGAGGACGAGATTAATTTGCCGACATTCGATCGATCGGCTGATCCATTTGCTGCGTGCCGATCTAACCTCGGCGTATAAGGAGCATTGAGCAGATTGCTGTCTTTCAACGTTCAACGAAAGTCAAAGCTGGTTCAAGGGAGAGTTGCTTTGCAGTTGGATTGGTACGACTGAGGAACGTAGATTGTCGTAAGAGAGAGCTTGAGTTCGTAAAATGATAAGATTTGGGTGAGTTTTGATAGCCGAACTGTACGTCGTACGTCGATGGGTTGCTCTGGAACTTTTGTGCCCACTGCACGATTGCCAAAAAACATTAATTCTATTTTTATTTTTTTTTTTTTCTTTTCCTTAAGTGATAAGCTGCAGTCCCTGGAGATTCGAGTTTCCCTCGAATAACCTGCGTATAACATATTATTAAGATTGGTATTGATTTTTTTTTTATGGTGGTTTGTGTGAGTTTTTGATCTTGCTTTGAGTTTCTGCAGGAGAAAAACTTTTTCAAAAACCTGCAGTGACTTGGTGTGTAGATTCATGTTGGTATGTGTTTCGTTGAGTGTTGCATGCATTGCAAGTTTTATCCTTAGTTTCAGTGGGATTTTGTCTATTTGATACTCTCCGGTGGTCCTGATTAGATGATTTTCGTTAATTCTATTTTCCTTGTGTGTTGGTCTTAAATAACTGTCTGAAAATTCTGTGGTTTCGAGATTAGAGAGGTATGTTAATTGCTTCCAGATATGAGCGAGATCGATCCTACTAAAAAGTAGTATTTGCACTTTCTAATGGTCCCAGGATGTGTTCCTCGCAATATGTCTTGGATGTCGTAAAAAACAAAGACATTTACCGAGCCTTAGAATTGAGAGTATCGGGCATCACCACAGCAATGAAATAAAAAATAAGAAGAAAAAGAACATGAAGTACGGTCAAGGGAAATCCCTGCCGTGGAAAAAAATAGTGAATATGAAAGTTTTATTCTTGGCTCGATGAATTCATTTTTCGCATCTCTTTTTCGAGCTCGTTTGTGACGGGGACCATATTGCGATAAGGAAACTTACCGAGCCTTGGAATTGGTAGTCCGGTATGACTACAATAAAAGATACAAAGTAACGAAGGACATGAAATATGATCACGGGAGATGCTTGCCGTCGAGAAGATTAGAAATTAGAAAATTGCTTTCCCTGGCTCGACGAGTTTGTCCTTCGTGGTACGAATTTCATCCCCATTGTGTTCGGTAAGGCCGAACACTATTTATTTTGTACAACTCTCGTAGCTGTTGGTTTTCAAGCTTAACCACTTGCGCTGGCAGCTGACCGCGGACCATAACGAGCGACCAAACCGTTATACAATAAATCGTCACTTTCTTTTTCAACTCGTCGATACGATATCATTGTAAATAGAAATTACTGAAAAGTAATAAATTTATTATTTGTTTCCTAGATTATACTTGAATGTACTTGAAACTGAGAAAATATTGCAAGTTTGTGACAAAAAAACTCTCGACGTAAGAGGTTAACCACCTGCGCTGGCAACTAATTGCGGACCGTAACGAGTGACCGAACCGTATACAATAAATCGCCGCTTTCTTTTTGGATCCGTCGATATGATATCACTGTGAATAGGAATTATTAGGAAGTAATAAATTTGTTACTTGTTTCGCCTGGGTTAGTGTACTTAAATATACTTAAAATTGAGAAAAATATTGCAATTTTGGGCCAAGAAATTCTCAACGTGCGTGGCACGTCATTCCCAGCGCAAGAGGTTAACCACTTGAGCTCTGGTAACTGATTGCGGACCGTAACGAGTGACCAATAATTCGTATACAATAATTCGTCGCTTTCTTTTTCTCTTGAACTCGTCGGTATGATATCACTGGGTAGAAATTATTGAAAAGTAATAAATTTACTATTTGTTTTGCCTAGATTATACTTGGATCTACTTAAAACTGAGAAAACATTGCAAGTTTGGGGCAAAAAATTCTCGACGTAAAGAGGTTAACTACTTGCGTTGGCAAACTGATTGCGGACCATAACGAGCGACCAAACCGTTGCTTTCTTGCAACAAATCGTTGCTTTCTTTTTGAACTCGTCGGCATGGTATCACTGCGGATAAAAATTATCGACAAGTAATAAATTTATTATCTGTTTTACTTAAATGTACTTAAAACCGAAAAGGTATTACAATTTTGGAACAAAGAATTCTCGGCGTGCGTCATTCCAGCGGAAGAGGTTAACGTTGTCAAACGTATGTACGTTTAATAAGAAGAGTCGAGAAGAAGAAGAAGAAGAAGAAGATATCCTTGGTAAGAAGTTTGACCGATTTTTCGTGAAAACGAGAGATATTTTCCAAGATTGTTCCTAGCGTTGAAGATTTCACCGATCGGTCTTGCTTCGTAGTTTGCTAATGTTGTAACGTGTCGTGGTCGTTGAATCTACATACTCGTTCGTACGTACATATATATATATATACAGACGATTACGTTACAGTTGCACGTACAATTAACAAGCATTATCGTCGGCGCATGCTATTTAACGTGATTTATTTCGAGATTTACCAATCACTTCCATTGTGATTCGAAAGGCATTCTGCATAGGTGGACAACATTAAAAACATTAGAGATTTGATCGCGGCATACAAAATTAGGTAGGTAGTTAATTTCCTTTTTAATTTCCCCGTGTTTGCACCCGTGTTGTTGGATAGTCTTGGCCGTTTCGTCGAACGTTTCCTTTGGTGATCCGCAAAGAAACACGTACACGTACGTATGGTATGCACGTAACGTGTGTGCAGAGAGAAGTGAGCGGGCGGGAAAAGAAGGGGGAAAGAGAAATAATAGAAACGATTTCATTGCTATCTCGAGCGTACGTTCTCCCGTCTTGATGTTAAAAAAAATCATTGTTTCGTATGCATCGATGTACACGCACGGGGAGATGTGTGTATACGAGCGTAAGTTTATACTCGTTCTCGCGATATCGTGCACGTTTGTACTACACGCGACACATGGTTTTCTCGTTTTGTTGCTCGAATGGTGAAATCTGACCAACGATTATATTGTTCGTCGACTCGAGTCGTCGAGTGACTCAAGAAAAAAAAAAGAAAAAAAAGTGGCTGTCAGTTGGTCGGAGCGACGAGGAACCAACAACCAAAGAGACCAACAGACCGAGGACCACGGAGATGCAAGATGTACGACTGCGAGCAGAGAAGACGGAGAATACGTATACGTCGGAATGGAAGAGACGAAAGTGACTGAAAGAGAACAGATGCGGAAGTACACGGTGGATGGAAGGTAGGTCTGGGTTTCGAGGGTACAGTGGGTACACGGTGGTGGGTATCACCGTTGTGCAGAATACCAAGCACGACAAACGAAGACTGATCTACAAATGGAGCGAGTTGGACGAGAGTCGTACGCTCGCTGCTACTACCCTTTTCTCTAAATCACGTTTATCAGAGACGGATGGCGAGCAGCAGAAGCGTAGCAGCGCGATGCAGTATCGAAGGAGGTGCGGCCAGAGGAGAAGGAAAAGGAAAAGGAAAAGGAAAAGGAATCAGTCGGCAAAGGATGGGCAAGTTGGTGGGAGGGAAGGGAGCCAAGAACGAAGAACGGTCAGAAAGAGAGAACGAGCTAGAGAGTGAGAGAGGGGGGGGGGTGAAATGAGAGGGTACAGAGAGAGAGAGAGAAGGGAGCAAGTTGAAACGAAAAGAGGGTGGTAGCGAGCGAGCGAGCGAGTTGATAAGTTGTCGAGTAGCGAAGCGCGGAGGCGCGAGCCGCGAGGTGCGATGCGCGAGGCAAGAGGCAAGAGGCACGAGGAGGACGAGTACGAGATGGCAGAAGAAGGGAAAGAAGGGAGGAGGAAGCGGAGAAACACGCGGATATTGATTCCCGTGGGATATGCGCGCGCTCGACGAGACTCGGAAATCTAAACGTATGTACGATGCTTTGGCGGACATACAGAAAAGTATACGCGTCGCGCGGCATGCGCATCTATATCTGGACTATCATCCGGAGGCCGGAGGAAAGGAAAATAGAGGCAAGTCCGCGGGGGTGCGGACAGGGGCATGGATAGGGGTGCGGACGAGAATCGTCATAGAGGGGGGAATATAACGGAATAGGAGCCGTATCTAAAACAAATCGCTTTTGAGTAAAATGAAAGGAGCGGGCGCGTCTTCTCGTGTCTCCGACCTGCTCGCTCGAGCTTGGATTCGACGAACGAAGAAAGGAAAAAAGATGATGATCCTCGATGATGATGATCCGTACGATTCGGCTACTTTACCTTTAACAACGCAACTACTCGTCGTTGGTGTATGCTGTCAGCGCTTTTATCGCGCGACGCTACGAACCGAGAGCAAGAGAGAGAGAGGCATTGCCCTGCGATTCGATGAAACGAAGGAAGGAAACGCGAGGATACGAACGAAGCGCAACCCCCGGGTCGTTGTTCCCCCCTCCCCCCTCCCTCCCTCGATTATGGATTATTCGCGGAAACATACACACGAAAAGTCAAGCTCGTTGCTCGAACAACGCCAAAGCTCGACGATCGTAGGCATAGGTGACGATTGATACGCGATCCCGTACAAGGTAAGAGAAGTTGCTCGTATTTGGCTACTTGTTACTCGCTTACCAAGATACTACTCGCGAGATATCACTCTCTGGTGCTCTCTGCTTGGCCGTTTTGGGGAAAAGAGACGAGCGAGAGAAAACATAGCCGGCGGTGCGTGAAACGCTGCGAGAAGAAAAGAAAAACGGACGAAGAAGAGAAGAAGAGATAGGGGAAGCGGTTGGAGACCACTTTGGTTCAAAGATGGATTCCCCACAATTGCTTGAATTATGCGCGTAATTATGTAAAACGTATGTAAATGTACCACGTAGATCTAACGATAACGATAACGATAACGATAACGATAACGAAGAGAGCCAGCCGGTTTCGTCGTTTCGAAGAACGACGGATACGCCAACAAAGGATCGTTGGATCCGACGTGACATGCTGGTGACATGCCACCATGCCGATGACACAAACAACGTACGCGGCAACTCGGTCATCGCCGTTCCGAAATCACTACCACTATCTACCACTGTGCTTACCATTACCTACCACTAGCTTCCTCCACTACCTACCACCACCGACCGCTACTTACCACTACCGTTACCACAGCTGACGCCACCTCCGAGACCTGCGGGCGGACTTTCATGAATGAAACCCACGTGCGATCCACGTGACCGTTCCTGTCGAACCCGTCGTAATTCCCGATCGCCATCCATTTTCCCCCAAGCAATTTTTCCAGAAGACGTTGGGGATCGATGGACGATCGATGATCGAGCGTCGCTATTTTTTCCTATTTTTTACCCGTCTCGTTGTCTCGCTCGTCAACATTGCGCGTTCGACCCTTGATCCTTAATCGATTGTCGTTGACAAATGACGTCTAGTCTCGATCGGTGGAGAAACATTTTCAGTCGCAACGTAGTCGCGCGTCGTAGTCGTGCATTCGATATAAACATTAGCTAAAGGAATGAAGTGCAGCCGAAATTAATAAATAACGATACGACGACTCTTTTCTTTCCTTTTCTCTTTTTTTCTTCTGTTTTTTATAATTTGCGTTATTACTCGTGCAACTCTGCAAATAAGTAAACAAATGTAATAAAAAGCTTGATACACAGAGAGAGAGAGAGAGAGAGAGAGAGAGAGAGAGAGAGAGAGAGAGAGAGATCTTGTACTACTACAATGTCACCGTTTCATCTCCACTCCCTCCCTCTGTGATATTACATCCACCACCACCACCACCATCACTGACAGTATTTTCAACATTGGCGGCGGCAGCAGTGGCAGCAGTGGCACCAACACGACGACCATCACCACCACTACCACCACCACCACCACCACCACCACCACCACCACCACCACCGCCGCCACCACCACCTCCACCGCTGCTACCACTACCGCCACCGCCACCAACATCGCGGCGGTCCTCGTTGCTTTCGCTCTCAGCGTCGACGTTGCCGTTGCCGTTGCCGGTACCGGTGCGCAGTCGGTGGTCGCGGTCGGTGTTAGATGGTTTAAAAGGAAATTGATTCCGGAGAAACGGAGCACGGCGTAAACGATAAACGCGGTTCATCCACGTGCTCCGGCTTTACAGCCGGCAGCGTTGAGCCGGTATCATCATCGCCCCCCCCCCCCCAACCACCCACCCTCTCTCTCCCACCCTACAATCCCTCCTCTCCCCCTCGCGGTGAGCTTCGTCGCGAGTCGCTAACGGACCGGTGAGATCTCGATTACGATCGGTATCGGTGAGAGTATAAAATCCTGTCGGCGGGTCGCGGCAGATCGATCGACGGATTGTAACGGCTAAACACGGTGTATGGTGTGTGTGTGTGTGTGTGTGTGTGTGTGTGAGAAAGAGAGAGAGAGAGAGAGAGAGTGAGTAATATCGGGAATCGGGTTACATCGCATACCGATACGCGATCGCAAGTACGATCGAGCGGTTGCTCGTTGCGTGTGTCGGACGCCAGGCCATTCATTTTTCCAAGCTCCCCTGCGGATAAACGGGACGCCGGACGATCGAAACGAAAGGGACAAGGAAACGCGATGAAAGGGAAGACGCGCGGAGAAAGATACGGGGAGAGCTGTACGAAGGAGGGATCGATGTTTGATTCCAAGCTGAAAGCCGACCAGAGACGAGAGGCTGAGACGTTGAATTAATCGACACCGGGTGAACACAACAGAGAAAAGAGGAAACGAAAAAAGACGGAAGAAAGCGAGGCTTTGAAAGGGAGAGAAAACGTTATGCTGGCCGACGATTTAATCGATCGAACGATAGACACGGGAGATCGAAGCGGTGCTCGGGAAAGGTGCGGTTTTCGTATTCTCGTCGTTCGTTAGAAGTCATAATGCTCGAGGGAAATGTGTTGTCGTTTCCGGCAAGGAGAATTCCAATCGAGATCCACCGCGTTTCGATTAAAAAAGTAAAGGAATCGCGCTAGATTTCGGAGCGAGCAGTGTGTGGAGAATCGCGCGCATACGCGAGCAGGTACGGTTAATCGCGCGATTGATTGATTGATCGATCGATCGAATCGATTCGGCTGGCGATCGGCGATTCGCTAACGAGTGACGACTCGCGCCTGACTCTTGTCTCCTATCCGATCGATAGGTGCCAAACGGGAGGAGATCCGTGAGAGAAGAAGAAGAAGAAGAAGAAGAAGAAGAAGAAGAAGAAGAAGAAGAAGAAGAAGAGACGAGAGGTGAAGGAAGAGGGAAGGTGACGATCACGATCACGATCACGATCACGATCACGACCACGGCGGGAGCCGCGGGACGATGAGCGACGGCATAGTCGGTGCAATCGCGATCAGTTTATTTGGTATTGACGCAAAAAAAGAAAAAAAAAGAAAAAGAATATCTTTGCGTTCGGGGGGGGATGATTTTCACTTACAGAAGCCTCGTTCCAGGCAGCGAGAAGAAACGTCGGGACAGCATGGACGCCGGTTACACGATACTTGGCAACGACGTCGATGTCTGCAGAATGTTCGACCAGTGTTCCTACAAGGTTAGTGCTTTCTTTCATCACGATATTTCTTTCCTTTCCTTTTCTTTTCTTTTCTTTTCTTTTTCTTGGCAGAATATGATACAGTAAGTCGCTACGTTAACGTGCGACTTCGAACCTATTTATAATTTTTTTTCCTTCGACTTTCACGTTGACGAGCGTTTTACGACACAAAGCCAAAACGGAGAGGAAGGGGGTCCGGTGAAGAAAGAATCTGGCAGAGAGGCCAGAAAGGACTCGATAACGATAACGATCCTTTTTTTCGAATAGTTCGACTGGTTCCTTCCTTTTTCTCGTCGTAACCTGTCGTAACCTAATTCCTCGACGCAGAGGCCCGATCGTGTTTAAATCGTTTCGCGCTCAGTCTCTTTTTCGGCGGTTTTCTCTGCTTCCCGTTCATTGCCGGGCCGCGTTGCCGATGATAAAGACGAAAGGAGAAATGTGGGAAACGAGCTCGACGCCGTGGATCTCTCGCTGCATCGTGTTGCGCTACCTTTATTTCCGCACTGGCTGGTGTGCGCGCTGCACCTTCTTTGACCGTTTCCAGCTTTTCATTTCGTCCTCCTGGTGGTTGAAACAAAATGAAAGGCAAACCTATACTACGAAGGAGGCCCCGGTATCCATAAAAGAATGAATAAACGTAGATTGGAACGGCGTAAAAAAAGCGTGTAGGTCTGTGTACACCCTTGAAGCAGAACGTAGCCAGAGTAGGCGCTGCATTTCTACCACATTTACATACACACACACACACGCGACGCACGCACGCACGCACGCACGCACGCACGCACACGTACATACACACGTATCGCGTTGAAGCAAAAATTGAAATCTCGCTGATCGCCAGCGCGCAAAGTAAATTCGTTCTAACGAACGTCGGTAATCGAATTTACTTATCACGACTCGTTTGATTAAGAGTTTGCTGCTTCTGCTTCTGCCGGCTGCTCGATAAAAATAAAATACACTTTTTCGGCCCCGTCGTTTCTTCGCGACTTCTTCCTCGGTTCTTTCTCCCTTGCTCTCTGCAAGCGAGCGTTGCGTGCATGCGTGTATTATACTTGACTACATACGTGTATGTATCTTCTCTCTCTTTCTCTCTCTGCTGTTTTCGAGCATTCGTACAAAAACATGTTGAAAATGAATCGGAGAATCAACCGCTACCGGTACTTGCTTTCTCTTTCGCTCGTAGACGAGCTGCTTCGTAGAGAAAGTGTGTCGCGCACGACGCTTTGCGAAACTGACTCGCGGACCGATAAGCATCGATCGCCTCGATACCTCGGCGACGATAGCGAGCGACGTCTGGAAAGCAAACGATCTGTAGGGAATTGCAGAGTTAAACTTTGCTCGATCGATCGATCGATCGATCGGATTGATTGATTTTTATTAATATCAGCCTAGAAATCGACTCGGCTTGCAAAAGCAATTTCTATAATTTTCTTCCCTTCGTGTTTGGAACTTGCCAGTTGCGATATTTCTTGGAATTCGATCGAAGCCGTGTACAAACGATTTACAAACTGAAATCGTGACGAAACGAAAATGTTTGTTCGCGGTCGCGTCGATCGATCAAAGATTTCCCACCGCCGAGGGAAAGAGGATGGGATTGGGATTGGGACGGGGGATGTAATGGGTCGGAGTGTTTCGGCGGTAGACCGCATCGGGTAAAACCGGTAACCTGTAACCGGACGCAGACAGTAGACAGTCGAGAACAGCCCCGGACGGTCGGAACAACACAGGCCAGCGCCGGCCAGCGGTGGCGGCTAGTCGCTCGCAGAGCCACTGACAAAATCATGAGCCACTTGTTGATCGGCCAATGGCCAATGACCATTCGGCCACCTCGATACTGCTCGAACCGTTTCGTTCGACCAAAAGCGGTTCGTTGCTGCGATATGTCCCGCATCTCCCAACGAAGGCGATCGTGAATAAAAAAAAATCGAGAAGCGAGAAGATCTTTCTCTCTCTCTCTTTTCGTGAGATCGAGATTTGCGAGTTTGCCGTTTTTTTACTTTCGGCCTGATTCGAAAGAATCGCGGGGAAAAGTTGGGAATTCCTTCGTATTGTTACGCGTCGCCTATTCGCGTGGGTGACAGACATTCCTGCTCGAGTGTAAACAAAGATAGAGGAGGAGGACGATGTCGTGCAAGTGCTCGTACTTGGCTACTTGGTTACGCGGTGCGTCGAGGTTGATAAGAACACGAGACGGACACGGACACGGATACACGTAGCTAGGCGAGAAAATTAGGTTAGTCATTAGCTTTGCATCGGGATGGGTTCGAGGTGGTTTTTTCGCGATTTGGATTTTGGATTCCACGCTGCCTCGCGTTCCGTGTCTTTCCTTTTTGCCCTTTTCACTCACCGGCCGCGTAACTCTGGCAGAGCGTAACCCTTATTCTACTGGCCCCCGACCCTATCTTACCTTACCCTACCTTACCTTGCCTTGCCTTGCCTTGCCTTGCCTTGCCTTGCCTGCCCCCTGCCCGCTTCACCCTACTCTCGGGCTCTTTCCTTCGTCGCCCGAGCTCGCGAGCCAGCGAACCCGCGAGTCCTCCTCTTCCCCACCTTCGCCTAGCCTATTCCGCGTTACCCATCTCCTCTGTACCCATACCCTCTCCCTAGTCTCAGCCTAGCCACCCACAAACCTCCCCCAGGCTTCCGCTCGCGATTCTCCCCCACACCACCTCCCACCCCCGCCCGCGCCGCTCCCTCCCTCCCTCTCTCTCTCCCCCCTGTGCTTGCTTTCCTCCTGTTTCTCTTTCGCCTCTTTCTCTCTCTCTCGTTAAATCAATAAGCCATTCGGTCTGCTGCCACACTAGCACGACGGGGCACTTTGCCCGATTTTGTTTCCGATCGGATTCCCTTTTCTGCATAATCTCTAGACGAAAAGGTCAATGCGAGAGAGAGAGAGAGAGAGAGAGATTACATACTCGACGGTGCCCAAGGGTTTACCGACCCCCGGGTCATTCTCTGAATCTGTTTTTTTCTTTTTCTTTTTCTTTTTTTTTCTTGTAAACGTAACGAGGTGCGAAAAACCTAAGGCGAGAACGCAACGACGATTTGCGACGATTCGCAAAAAAAAAAAAAACACTGAAACATCGAGGGGAAAGAAATATGGACGGATGAATAGGTAAATAGATGTGCGGAAGAAGAGAAATAGAGAGAGAGAGAGAGAGAGAGAGAGAGAAGAGTAACTAACCGTAGGTAGCAAGTTGGTAAAGCAAGCGAATAAAGCGTAACGGAGAACCGAGTTCGTTCGTATTCGAAAGTTTCAGAGCAAACTCGGCAGCGAGGCAGTCGAATACAATGGCCAGGCAGAAGTTTCCGCGAAACTAAACAAGTTTATTTAACTTACCTCGGCACACCGGTTCCCATCCCCATTCTCCCGCGACTCTTCTAGAGTCGCATCTCTGCGTGGAATCTGCCCTGCGAACCACCTTCCTCCGAACCCTTCCACCACCCGTCAAATACGCTTCTTCTTCTTCTTCTTCTTCTTCTACTTCTTCTTCTTTGCCTACTGCTCGGCCATCTTTCTCTCCTCCTTCTCCTCCTTTCTTCTATTTTGTCTCCTCTCTCTCTATCTCTCTTTTCCTCTTTCCATCTCTTTTCGTCTCGTCTCATCTCATCTCATCTCATCTCATCTCATCTCATCTCATCTCATCTTACCCCAATTTCTCTCCACCATCCTCTCCTTCACCTTGCGCCTCGCCGCTTATCCCACTTACTTGCATGGACTCCCGTCCCTGTACCTGCAATAACGGCAAGTTTCCCGAAAGTTTCCGACAGATTAACGACTATTGGAATTGTTCGGAGTTATGAAAGAGAGAGAAGCGCCACCAGCGAAAAAGGGATTACAAACCTTTGCTAGCCGAGAGACAAACGACGGCGTCTGAATACCGATCGATAAGTTTCGATCGATCCGTTTGCAAAGTGACACGGCGAGGACGGGGCAGTGTTTCGAAGAAATTTCTCTCGTATCGACGTTACAACGTGATTACCGTCGGTAATGCTGTAAAACGTCGCCCGATATAATTTGCTCCATCGACCGACGATTTGAAAAGGGAATAAAAGATGTGTCACGCTTCGACGATATTTGCACAGCTGTACAGCTTGGTCGGATCGACGAAAACGATATCGGTTCGATTCCCGGGACGAGAAAACCGAGTAGTGGAGGGAATCCAAAAAGGAGGAGGAGGAGGAGAAGGCAAAACACGGAAAGAAAAATGAAAGGGTAAAAGAGAAAGGAAGAGCTCTACCATTTGGAGGAAAATGAAAGAGATGGGTTATCGAGAGAGAGAGAGAGAGAGTGTGTGTGTGTCTAGTTTCTGTATGTCCACCGAGTACATGCCACGAAATGGGATACATATGTACAATGCGCTGTATATCTTCTTTATGGCAACCATTAACATATTTTTTGCCGTGCGTATTACCATACAATAGTGGCGCAAATATTACAACTTATGGTCGTAAATCAAAGAGCGGGAAGGGGCGGCCTGGAAGACGAAATGCCGAGTGAGGAAGGGAGAGAGAACGGAAATAGAAACGGGGAACGGGAACGGGAATGGGAACGGGGAATAAAACAGAGAAAGAGACAGACACCGAGCAGCGAAAGAAGGAGGGAGTAGGCCACGGGAGAGTGAGAGAGTGAGGAGAGAGGGAGGGAACGAGGGAGCGAGAAAGAGAGAACGTTACAGGAGGAACCAGGTTGGCTGGTAGAGCTCGATGAAACAAGTCGATTCTTTCGTTTCCATCGTGGACAAGCATCGAAAGTACGTCGATGATTGTGCAAGGTCGTTGACACAAGAATCACATTGCCAAACGAGGGTATAACGTTCAAAGTTTTGTATCGCGTAGAAGCGAAGAGAATGATATAGGTACGAGATGTTGACGCGAAAGTATCTTTTTTTCCACGATGATCGTGGACACGCGCGAGTCGTTGGACGCCGATCGTCAACGTGCAAAGAATCGGAGGGCGGAGGGGCAGAAGAGATCTCACGCGTGTTCCACACAACAAAGACGGGTTTTTCGTCTCGTCCAGGTTTCATCTCGTCGTTTCATTTCGTCAAGGACGAAAGACAGATACGTCGTCGACGTTGCCTCGTCTCTCGGAATAATCGGACCGTGAGCTCTACGCGCGTATTCATCGTGTTCGTGTTCGTGTTCGTGTTCGTGTTCCCCGGCACATTAAAACGGAAACGTTGGAGAAATTTCAGATAATGTTCAATAGTAAATTAAGATATAATAACTTTCGTGAAAGTTGTACGCCGGCAAGGAGATGGAAGAGAAGAAAAAGACGACGGCGGTAGTGGGACCAGAGGGGGAGGGGGGTAGGGAACTCCATTAACTTTTATTTCTCCGGGAAAGTAACTTTGCCCCCTCCCGCAGTTCTCCCCCTCCCCCCTCCTCCGTCTCCCGTCCCCCCGCTTAAGACGACCACCCATCGCCTCCCCCGTCCTCCGTCTGTTCGTTCCTCCTCGTTCTCCTCTCATCCCTCCGTTCCTCGTTCCTCTGCCGCTTCACCTCGTTCACATCCCATCGTCGTTTCGCGTTCGTCGTTTCTACCTCCTTCACCTCCTCCCCCTACTACTGCCACCTCCTCGTTCTCCAGCCTCCTTTCCCTGCTGCCACGGACGACGCCACCGCCACCACCACCACCACCACCACCACCACCGCCTCTTCCTCCTCCTGCTCTTCTTCCTCCACCATCGCCACCACCACCGCCGCCGCCAGTACCGTCGCTACCACCGCTACCACCACCTCCACCTCTGCCAACAGCCCTTCCTCATCCATTTTAACCGCTCCTCCCGTCTCTCGAACCTCCGCCTTCGTCTCTTTTGGCAATTCGTCCCGCTTCTTCGAGAGGATTCCCCTCCGTTTCCTCGTCGTGGCCCGAGCTGTACCCCGCGATTCTCCTCGCCGAGCACCTCTCGCAATCCCCGCTCTCCTACATCGCCACTGCCGCCGCCGCACCGGTACACCTCCTGGTACTTCGGTGCCTTGGTGCACCGATGAAACTTTGTAAAGCGACTTAGTCAAACTTTAATAAATTCCTTCGTAGAGTTTCAAAGCGGTTCTACGCGGGATTGCAAATGATTACGTTTCCTCGCGCGCGCACAACCCGCGCCTCGCGCTCTATCGCTCTTATCGTTGCTCGCCTCTCTCTTTCTCTCTTTCTCTTCTCTGCCACTCTTCCGCACTCGCCACATTCTCGCGAACAGATCGAGAGCTGCGGGTGGAAACCACGACGACGATCAGGTGCGAGACTCGACGATTCTCGAAGAGAACCGCCTCGTTTCCGCAAATCGGACAGTTTGAGCGAGTGTCTCTCCTGGCTCTGTAGAGAAAACGGGGTGATACGAAACGATCGGATCGAGCCCGCGTACGCGCAAATGCGCATTCCCATGGCAACGATCTCGATCAGATAGGAAACTAGCAGAACAGAGAACGGAGAACGATCTAGATAATGTATTCGATACAGGTAATATATAGCGCTCCAGATACAATATTTATGTCTCGACGTGTATTTTGCTAGCAGTCCATTATTCATTCCGCAGCGGTGAATAAGCATTTCAGAGTATCGCGCGCGAGTATCGTGCAGCGAGACGCGACGCGACTCGAGCGAATTTTACAACAAATTTCCTACACGACCGTCGAGGGTATACGATCGAGACTGAACTCGTTGCACGCTTTTTTACTTTCCTTCCCCCGTCGCGTCCCCTTTTTTTAACGTCTTCTGATTTTCCCCGATACGAAAAATCTTGTTTGCCAGACGTGGAAATCTCGCGTTCAGATTCATGCTCGATCCGGGACAAAGAATAGGTCATCAAAGCCACAACGTGTGCATCGTTAAGAACATGCGCGCGCATAATGGTAGAGGGGATACAGATAGATAAGTAGTAGGGCAGGAAGACGGCGGAGGAGGAGGAGGAGAAAGGCTACGGAGGGAGAGGAGGGACGGAGCGGAGAGAGGGGGACGAGGCGACAGACAGAGAGAGGCAGAGAAAGAGAGAGAGAGAGAGAGAGAAGGGTGTAGAAAAGCAGAAGAGAAACGCTAAGAACGGTCCGATCCACAGGGTAGACAAGATTCACACTTGTTGCTCCCTTCTTGGCTGTGTGTACGGTGAAAAGCCCGTTTATCCGAAGAATTTCCTGCGGTCAAAAGGTCACGTGGTTATGGTGCACACAACATGAGAAACCTAAACCTGGTTTCTCTTTTCCTTCTCTTTTCGTCTTTGCCTCTCTTCCCCCCCCCCCAACTCCCCATCACTGGTTCCTCTTTTCTCCTTCTGCTTCTTTGCTCTCTCTCTCTTTGTTTTCGTTTGTGTAAAATTTGTCCGTTAGAGACAAATGCACCGCTTACCAACGTGCTTTTGCGCGGAACATCGAACGGGGAGAGCGGAGAGCAATTTGGCAGTGTCGATGGAACGGCTCGAAAAAGGGAGAAACAGAAAGAGAAAGAGAAAGAGGAGGGAGGAGAGGGGAAGAACAGCGAGAGAAACAGATCGCGGGAACAGAGAAAACGTTCGCGTACCGTGACTGTGACTGGTAATGAGAGATCTGCGCGAGATAAACGGACGCTCGCGTAATAAGTAAAAACCGGTTTAGGAAACCGTCGACGATAATACGAATCGACGTATACACGGAAGAAGGACGAAACGCTTTTACGAGCTGCGAGTTGCGCGATTCATCTCGACGTGTTGTGGCGAGACTGAAAGGGTTGGAGGTGATGGTATCGCGTCGAGGCTGGGGGGGGGGGGTCGGGATACAGGACACGTAGGGATTCGTAGTGTGCGGTATGGGGGGCGCGGGGGAAGGGCAGGGAGACGAGAAAGCGCAAACACGTGGCAAAGGAAATAAAGAAAGGAACACGATGAAAAGGAACGACGAAAAGAGAAAATCACCGCACCGTGCGATAAGATATTAAGATATTATCAGCTGTGCAAACATTTGCTCGGAGGAATTTGTAAAATCAACATTTGCTCGACATGTTGGAAAACATGTTTGACGTAAAATCTCCGAGGCAGCGAGTGAATAGTAGCAATAGTAGCAATGGTAATAGTGGTAGTACGTAATCGGTAACGATGGCCAATATAGATTTTTCCACTTGATCACGCCGTTCGACTCGGTCGGTATTCGAAACAACAATTCCCGACACGACAGTGGCAGCAGGTTCGCCGTCGCTGTCGCTGTCTCTGTCTCTGTCTCGTTTTTTGGAACGAAATGGCGCGATGCCGACGCACGCGGCGCGACCGCGGTGCCATGCCGTGGTGGTGGACCGTCCCGCGAGAGAATATCGATTCGGCTGCCGGCGACCGAGCGTGCGGTTTCTTCGTAAAACTCTCTTAATAACCGGCTGCTTGTAGATTTCTCTCTCCAATTTTTTCATCTATCTCTCTCCAATGCCTATTTCGACGAAAATTAAAAGTCTGTCCTCTCACCGCTTATCGCTTTATTCTTCCAAATGTATAAATGCTAGTTTCATTCTCGACTATATAATTAAACTACAATATAGAGAATTATATCTGTACATGCGTGCTTGTCTACATATTTAGGCGAACAATAGCGAACAACATTAAATAACGTGGGCGATTAACTTGTCCGTGGAAACCGATAACGGATAATGATTGTCATAATAATCATAGTTATCGCGATCGTGTTTCGATCTCGTAACAATCTCGTTTGAGTAAATGTTCGCAAGTAGATTGTCGCTTCTCACGAACGAATAAAAATACATGGCCATGTATGTATATATGTATATATACATACATATCTAATAAAAACATACATGTAAACGCACAATATACACGTTAATGCGAATGGAATGCCACTGAAATTAAAGCCACCTTTCACGAGAATGTAACGACTGTTTATAAACTCCGACATAGCCACTGCTTCCTTGGGCCACGCGGCATACTCGATTGCCATCACCATCGCATACAGTGATGTCCTACTTTCTTGAAATATTCGAGTAACCGAGTATCGGTAGATAACGCGTGTTTAATCGGCCGTGCTACAACGTTTCGTGTCACGTCTCGTCTAATATCGACTCTCTCTTTCTTTCCAGTTGCTCTTAATTTTTAATTACATTCTGGTTAATTCGCTCAATTTTTAATCGCGAACAAGTAACGTTCAACTAATGACCAGTTAGGACCTGTAGATCGAGACTGAACGTGGCATCGATGAATCTCAATATCTTGGCAATGACTGTCGTTTTGTACCATTCGACGTGACTCAACAAAAAAAAATACAAGTCACGTAGAAACGGAAAATCGAAAACGTCGGCGGTATTATACGTACAATTGAATAAGAAAAGAAGCGAACATCGATGCCGTTGTCGCGCGCGCACGATTCCTCTTTCGTCATCGTTTGATCGCTGCGCGTCATACGTCGCGAGTCCTCTTTCCTCTGTTCGTTGCGCCACCGGCCTCTTTCAATCCTGCACGGCACTTCTCTCCTCTCCCAACGGTCGACAGAAACCCCACTCCAACCTCCTGGTCCCTCTCCATGCTTCGAACCGACCCCTTTCTTCTACAATCTACGGTGTAGCGATCACAGCTTGTTAACTGGGCCACGAACCACGAATGTTATTCGCGTGATTCAACGCGATTCCGAAATAAAATCCTCCATAGCGTAAGAAATACGCCGAGAGAGAGAGAGAGGGAGAGAGAGAGAGAAAAGAAGACATTTAACGCGCGACCGTTGAGCACGTGGTTTGAACGGTTGGCATTGTTAGATATACAGTAGGTGTAGATATTTCGAACGCAGAGTTATCGAACAAAGTTATTCTCTCTCGTTGGGAGAGGAGGATCTTGTCCGTGTATCGTCGTCGAACGAATCCTAGTCCGTACGACGCGTTACGTTTGAGAAATGAAACGTTTGTTAAACATCTGAGACGAAATTACACGTACACGTAGCTTCGACGCGCTCGCATCGTGTAAGATTGAGAGATTGCTCGTTTATTTCGCTCTTCAACGATTTTCAACATTTTACCTCGAATCACCGTTGTTGACTCCTTTTAATTCCTCGTCTCGTGCTCGTAAATTTTTGGACAATCGGACGATCGTGTCGTGTCGTGTCGTGTCGCGTCGTGTTCCATTGTATCCTTTCGCGATGTATGGGTAGGAGGCGCGCGAGTCTACTCCCCTGTAGAGAGAGATCTATCCCCACTATGGGAGAGTGGCACAAAATGAACCTCCCTTCAATCATTCCCGCGCCGGCCGCCGCGAGGAGCGCGCGTCGTTTTGCCACGCTGTCACTAGTTACGCCACGAGTCGTGTAGTTTGCGCGCGCGCGTGTCTGTGTGTATACGTGCGTTGCGCACCAATCTGTATTTTGATTACGTGTTGTGCTTCGCTAAAAAACTATCATCGTACGCGTGGTGATGTGAAAACGCGTTGCCTGACAAGTGTCGACGTGTGCGTGTAGAGGGAATCTCGCGACAAACATTCCCCGAAACGAGCCGTTTCGTTTGTTTCGTTTGTTTTGTCTCTATCTTTCGTCTCGAATCGACAGTCTTTGGCAAAAGTCATCCCCGGCGAAAGAGGTTGCGTTTCCCGAAGGGAAAAAATTCATCGTTGCACGCTGCAGCACGTTACACGTGCATTCGGTAACCTGGATCTCGCCCCGACGAGTGGTCGGTTCGTTTCATCGGTAAGTCACCCATCTTGCGATTGTCCAACGACCGATACGTTACCTCGTTCCGACTCGACCTTTTGTCGATTCCATCGTCGAATCCAACGAAATTCCAACGAAATTTGAGCGTCGCGGTGTTAGAATTCGTTATTTCTGGCAGTGATGTTACTCGCTTTCGAAACGTATTCGAGACAAACTTGCAACGCCATCTGCCGGTGGACGGTTTAACTCTACGAATGACGCCGATTCCAACATGCAGAAAATCTACAGCAACGATCGTTGAATTTTCCAGTTGTCCGATTCAAAAATCTCGATCGTTGATCATTGAATTTTATTTCGAGCTGTAGTAAAAAAAACTGCATTAAACTTGGGTTTACGTTTCGTTGTATTTTTCAAAGACCAACGATACACGGAGCTCTCTTCGTTTCGTCGAAACGAAGAGGAGGAAGCAAGGGACAAACGTTTAGGATATTGTTCAGGCGAAATTAAAGACAAAAAGAAAAAAGAAAAAGAGAAGAAACGAGCTACGGATTACAAATGGTGGTGATGTTCGGTGTGAGGAGAGCAATGGCGCGGGTGGGGAGAGGGTTGGCAAGGAAGGGGGCGAAAGAGATTGGAACGGGGAACAGGTTTAACATCGGTTAAACGCATACACATATACATATATGTATATATATATATCTCGTACATTGAGTAAAGAAACTCGTTCGTGTATATAAGCAAGTTAGTACTTGCGTCTATTAGGGTCTTTTAGTATTCGCTTTGTTCGTCTCCACATAAAAATGTTTTTATTCCCGGTAACTTTTCGGAATCTTTTTTTTTGGATTCTTTCTTTCCTCCGTACGTCGTCTGTTCCCAGTTGCCAGTTCTGTTATTAAAGAATCTTGCAAAACTGACTAAAGTTGCACGTTAGGTTAGATATTGAAAAATTTCACGTCTAAAAGCCATTTAATTCGAACCGGAGAACGGGGAGCAAACGTGGATAATAAATCGACGAACGCACGCTCGTTGATCGGACGAAGTTTCGTTTGTCGAAATCGGAGAGATCCAGAAGAGAGAAGCATTTTCGTTTGTCGTTCGTCACTCATCTCGTTCCGATTCGGACTTTCTCGTACGCATCTCTCGCGTCTTATCTTCTATCTATCTTACCTACCAATCAACCGACCATCCACAAACCCATCTTCCTATCTACGTAAGTACCTATCTACCTGCTTGTCTGTCTGCCTTCTTGCTCACCTACCTACCTACCTACCTACCTACCTGGTTGCCTACCTGCTTCCCTGGCTGTTCGTTTTCTTGCCTGCCTGCCTGCCTGCCTGCCTGCCTGCCTGCTGTTACTTCTACTGGAAAAAGTAACATGTTGTGCACCTTACCTTTTCTTCCTTCTCTTTCGGTCGTCGTACCTTCTCCATCGTCACTCCTCGTTGTTTATATTCTTCGTTTCTGTTGACGTTATCGGTTTACTCGAACGATACTTTAATTTCAATAGGTGGCGTGCGTTTGTTACGATCATCGTCCGGATCGAATTCACGCAGGAGCTATCGCACGTTTCTCTTCTTCGATCAATCCACCGTCGTGTTCCTGTTTCGAACGTACGAAAGCTTGTCATTGCCGATTTTTGTCCCGAATTTGTCTGGAATTTTTGTTTCGGAATATCAAGTTTGTTTCTTCCTTCGGATAAAGAACACGTCACGATACCAGCTGCTTGACTCGACTCGACTCGACTCGACTCGACTCGACTCGACTCGTTGGAAGGAGCCACGAGAACGTATAGAACGAAAGAATCGAGCGTCGTCTTCCAGATGGTGAGAAAGGAGATCGAGCGAAGAATCGAAGAAGATGGAATTCCGGGATATCGGTCGACACACAGGCGTGTCTCTTGTTTGTTAAATCGTTTGTAATCGAAAATAGAAAAGAAATAATAATAATAATAAAAAAAAAAATCTACACATACAGGGGAGACGAAAGAGAAGTAAGAAGTAGTAAATCGATAATGGCAGGGAGAATGAAAGGAGCGTGTATCGGGTAGCGTACATCGAAATAGATGCGCGGGTCGGTGACCGTGGAGAAGCGCGAATAACGCGATCCGCTAAAAGAGCAGGTGGACGAGACGAGGACGACGAACGTAAGTAAGCACAAACGGGGAAAATTATTTGAGAGTCGTTGATAGGCTCCATCGTTTTACAGAAATTCTGCCGTAAAAACATCGATCGAATAAAATTTCGCGCTTGATTTCAATGTTTGAGACAAGTTATGGTTAACCTCTTGCGCTGGCAACTGATTGCGGACCGTAACGAGTGACCAAACCGTATACAATAATTCGCCTCTTTCTTTTCGGACTCGTCGGTATGATAACACTGTAGATAGAAATTATTAAGAAGTGATAAATTTATCACTTGCGTTGCCTGGGTTATATTTAAATATACTTGGAACTTGGAAAATATTGGAATTTCGGAGCAAAAAGACTCTCGACGTGCGTAGCACGTCATTCTAGCGCAAGAGGTTAACCAGTTGCGTTGGCAATTGACTGCGGACCGTAACGAGTGGCCAAACCGTATACAACAATTCGTCGCTTTCTTTTTCTTTTGAACTCGTCGGTATGATATCACTGGATAGAAATTATGAAGAAGTGATAAATTTATTATTTGTTTTGCCTAGGTTATACTTGAATGTACTTAAAACTGAGAAAACATTGCAAGTTTGGGGCAAAAAATTCTCGACGTAAAGAGGTTAACTACTTGCGTTGGCAAACTGATTGCGGACCATAACGAGCGACCAAATCGTATACGAATAAATTGTCGCTCTCTTTTTGAACTCGTCGGTATGATATCGCTGTAGATGGATAGAAATTATTAAGAAGTAATAAATTTATTGCTTGTATTATCTGGCTTGTACTTTAATATACTTAAAAACTGAGAAACTATTGAGACGAAAAATTCTCGACGTAGAAGGTTTAACCACTTGCGCTGGCAACTAATTGCGGACCATAACGAGTGACCAAACCGTGTACAATAGTTCGTCGCTTTCTTCTCGAACTTGTCGGTATGTCATCACTGTAAATAGAAATTATTGAGAAGTAAAAGTGACTTGTGCTGCTTCTAAGTATATTTAAATATACTTAAAACTGACAAAATATTGCAATTTTGAGGGGGGAAAAAAAAAAAATTCTCGACGTGCGCGGCACGTCAATCCAGCGCAATAGGTTAAGCGACTGTTGGAAATGATGCAAAGATTCCCCGTGCTTTTGCTCGCGGTGCGAAGTATCGAACAAATGGAATCGACGAAGCTGCGCTTGTCGAGGCCATTGACCGATGGAAGAGGAAGGAAGGAAGGAAGGACGGAAGGAAGGAAGGAAGGAAGGAAGGATGAAAGGTAGAATGCGCGTGTCCCATCGCGGAAAGGGTACCGGGGAACGGGATTGACAAATTGCGGATATTGTACGCAAGAATATCCTCGTGGATCGATTTTAGAAACGGGATCGCGATCTCTGCCGATTAGTTGGTCGCGCTACGGGGACGACGAGTGGATGGGAGAGCCAAGGGGAAAGAAGCGACTGTTGAACGAATTGTTTTCGCTTGTTTCAGAGGAACGAGAGTCTGGACTTTTCCTTGAACGTTCCGCAGCATCACCATTCTACGTCCTACCATCACAACAGCTACGCCATGGCTGATCAAGTAAGTCAAGAAGTTTTTACCTTGATTTCGATGTCCGTGGTCGCGTTAGTGGTTGGGATTTTTTACCGCGATAAAACGCTCTCGGGCGAAAGGGCGAAAAGTCGCGAGAGCGGACTTGCGGAGAGAGCCATCGACGACACAAGGGTGTTTTTGGAGCTCTCGTGGCCGCGAAAGCTGTTGGGATTAATCGGGGAAGGAAATTGGAGAGTATCTGGCTGTGCGAGAGTGCAGAGAGAGAGAGAGAGAGAGTGAGCGAGTGAGCGAGCAGGTGGTGTGGAGGAGGAGACGCGTTGGGGCGTGGAGACGCGTGGGAGAGTGTTTGCGGGCACGGGCCGCGGGCCGCTGGCCATGGGCCACGGGTTGCGTGGCACACCGTACGCCGATCGGCCGGCCGGCCGCCCTATCGTCCGCGTGGAGGAACAAAACGAGCGAAATGAAAATACAAACGCGATTGAAACGCGGACGGGGGGGAAAAGGAAAGATGGAATAGGAACGTCTTGCTTCGGCCAGATAGGCAGAGGACGAGAAAAGGACCCTGGAGGCGGCGGTGGCGGCAACGCGGCGGCGGCGGCGGCGGGGTTGGGAACGGGAACGGGAACAGGCATTGGTACGGGCCACGGTTATTGGGTAGGGTACGGGGGCAGGAATGTGAAACCGGCGGTAAGGGTGTAGGGTGGAAGGAGGAGAACGGCGTGGAGAGGAGAAGAGCGAGAGCGAGAGAGAGAAAGAGAAAGAGAGAACGATACGAGGGGCGTAGGAGTGAGGTGTAGGGTGGGTGGGTGGTGGGAAGGGGCAGAGGGGGTGTAGAGAGAAAGAAAAGTTTGGAACGGGCGCGCGCGGTGGAGGAAGAAGATGGATAGACGCGCGTAGTCGATTCGGAGATGGAACGGGAGTAGGATGAGGAGAAGAAGGTGGAGGAGGAGGAGGAGGAGGAGGTACGCGAGAGTAGGAGTAGAAGGTGTAGGAGTAGTTGAAATAGGACGGGTACGGGGTACGGTGTACGGGTACGGGTACGCATACACGCGCGAGCAGCGACGGGACGTTACGCGGGGACGAAGCGCGGTGGAAAAGGGATGGATGAGAGAAGCGAGGTAGGGTAGGCGGGCGGGCGGGGGGGGAGGGGGGGGGAGGCGAGAGCGAAACGATAGAGTAAGAGAAACATCGCGAGGTAAGGGGTAACGCGCGCGATGGGCACGACGGCGAGGGGGAAGAGAGGCAGAGGTATACTCGATCAATAGGCAAGTACGTTCCTTCAAAGGAAAATTCCTGATGCTATTAAATCCAATTTAAAAACTTTTATTCCCCGTGGCCCGACGCGCTCTACACGGCAAATGTATTTTCCTTCGCTCTCCGCTCCGAAACGTTAATAAATCGCTAAAAGGATTTCAAACGATACGGCGACTCTCTCTCTCTCCCTCTCTCTCTCTGTCTCTCTTTCCTACGAATTTATGGCATATACGTCGCCGACGATGGAACGACGATACGAAAGCTCGATTTACCACACACTATAGCCACCAATAGCCGCCGATATGGCGTCGGATGATCGCCGATCGAAATCTCCAAATTGTTCCTCTCTCTCTCTTGCAGACGTTTCACACTCCCAGTTTCGGCGATGAGGACTTCGATATTCCGGCTCTTCATTCTCACTCGCATCAGCAACACCAGCATCATCAATCGCAGCAGCAACAGCAACAGCAGCAGCAGCAGCAACAACAACAACAACAACAACAGCCGCAGCAGCAGCCGCAGCAGCAACATCAGCAACATCAGTCGCAGCCTCAAGCTCAGTCTCAGCACGATCCGATGCACGGCTACCAAACGCAGGTAAGTTGCGTCCGGAAGACGAAGAAGAAAGGGACGTTTCTTCGAGGGATGTAAGAAAGGGGGAGGGCGCGTGCACGTTTCACGGACTCGTTCGAATCGCTTTCGCAGATGATGCAGACCGGCAATATGCAACAGTCATCGGACGGGTTGAACCTCGACCCAGGAGGATATCAACAGCCGCTCTACTTGCAGCAGGACCACTCGATGCAACAGCCGATCAGCGTCAGGTGAGTCGGATCGCGGTGATTTGGCGATCGGCTCGTGACTAAGTACAAAGGCCTCGTTAACCGACCACGTCCTTTTCTCTGCGATTTTTTTCCCCTGTAGTTCGACGTACAGTGGCTCGCAAGGTTCGTACGCGAGCATGAATTCACCGAGGCAACAGCACGGGAGTCAGCAACAAATAATGTTGATTCAACAGCAGCAGCAACAGCAACAACAACAACAGCAGCAGCAACAGCAACAAGCACAGTTGCAGCAGCACATGCAATATATGCACAGTCAGCAGCAGCAGCAGCAGCAGCAACAACAGCAACAACAGCTGCAGCAACAGATGCAGTATAGAAGTCCAACGGGCGGTAGTCCGTCGGCGATACAGTCGAGCGTGATCCCCGAGGCAAACAACAATACCACCACCAGCGAGGATAGCGACGACAGTACGCCACATTCGGGGATGGTGAGTTGCCAACCGATTAATTTTCAGTAAGTACAGCCGAACGAATCTCTTGAACGGCACGGCTCGCGATCGTTTGTCCAGATTACCGGCATTAAGAGACCCTCGCCGGAGCCGAGCGACGCCGCCGCAAAAAATCAAAGGAAACCAAAATCGCAGAAAAAGAAGAAGAAAAGGGATCCCAACGAACCGCAAAAGTGAGTATATCCATCCTTTTTTTGTTGTTTTTTTACCTTCTCTTCCTCCTCCTTGTTCGATTCTTCATTTTTTCCTTCGCGACGAGAAGAGGTGTTTTGAACCGTCATTTTTTCCCTTCACGACGCGTGCGCGATGACGGATCTGAAGAGTCGAGCAAGATTGAATCGTATCAAGATTCGAGAAACGAGAGAGATTTTCGACGAGAAGAAATATATATCGTCACGTTGACGCTTCATTAGCTCTTCCTCTCTGTTCAAATTTCGTTCGCGTTGATTATGCCACGGGATTGAAAAACCAGTCGCAACTATTCGATCAATTTTCTTTTTGCTGTGAAATCAATCAGTCAGTCAATCAATCTCTCTCTCTTTCTCCCGCTCTTTTTTCTTGTAATATAACAGACACACGTGCTATACTAGTTTTTTTTTTTTTTTTTTTTTTTCATTTTTTACAGACCTGTTTCGGCGTACGCCCTGTTCTTCAGGGACACTCAGGCCGCGATAAAAGGACAAAATCCAAATGCGAGTTTTGGCGAAGTCTCCAAGATTGTAGCTTCGATGTGGGATGCGTTGGATACCGAGCACAAGAACGTGAGTGGCCGCGAAATCGTCGTTTTTCACGTTTATTCTCGTTAAACGGGTATTCTGGTAATTCGGCTTCAAAAAATCGACCTTATTGGGGATTTTTCTTCTAAGGAAACCACGATACACTTTGTCACACAGTTTTCGTACACAGATTTGTTCACACTTGAAGATTATTTACAATTTTTTCTTTTTTTTTTAACGAAAGTTGTGGAAATTATATGGCCTTGAGTTGAGTGTTGTAAAGCATGATTTTAAAAACGGGTTCGAATGGCTGACCTGGTTGTTTGAAACTAAGAAACCAAAATGCATTTTAATTAGTATAAATATGGCTATCGCATGAGCCGCGAAAACAGCGAAATTCCGAAAATTAAAAAAAAAGGCAGCATTTTGAAGTTGAAATGTCGATTTTCCTTGTGATTTTTGTCTCTTGGATGGTAATAAAACATAATAGAAGAAAACATCAGATTTTGAAATCCGTGATCCATGCGATAAAGGTACACCCGGTGAAGGTCTCCTCCAAATTTCAAGTCAATCGGTCAACTGAAACGTGAGATATCCCGTCAGCATGTTCAAAAAGTATATTGGTTTGAGAAAAACACGTTTGAAGTTTCTGTTACCCGTTGTACACATATATTCGTACTTACAATCAATCGAGCACAAGTACAAATAATAAAATATTATAAAATAATAATAATAATAATAAGTAATAATATAAATAATAATATTGTAAAATAAAATATTTTTTGGGAAAAGTACAGTTGCTAGTAGTCCTTTTTAAACACCTGCCAAACATAGGCATTCTCGGAAGCGTATACTTTGAGAAAATGTAGAAAAAAGAATCGATTTTTTTTCAATCCGAATTACCAGAATACCTGCTCGAATACGTCAAAGAGTAAGTTACGCCGCGTTGGTGAAATTTCTGCCAATGTAGGTTTACAAAAAGAAGACTGAAGCCGCAAAGAAAGAGTATCTGCAGGCCCTCGCGGCGTACAGAGCGTCCCTAGTTAGCAAGGGGGCAGCCGAGAACGAGCAACAGCAACAACAACAACAGTCGCAGCAGCAACAGTCGCCGCAACAGCAGCAAGTTCAATATACGGCGTACGGCAGTTACGCCGGAAATGGGACGCCGGGAAACATTTCGTATCAGGTTTATAGCCCGCAACCTCAGCCCTCTTCGCCCCAACAGCACGCCCATCCTCATCCGCATCAGCAACAACTACATCATCAGCAATCGACGCAACAGATGCAAATGAAGAAGTCTCCTCACCACTTGACGATGCCAGGAAACCCACAGCAGCAACAAACGCAACAGGTTTCTCGTCTTTGTCATATTCTTTTCCTCTCATCTTTTTTCTTTCTTTCGTTGCTGCCGTTGTCACATCCATTCACCCCCTTCATTCTTTCAGATGATGGCTACGTCGATGGCGCCGACACATATGTCGCAACAGCAGCAACAACAACAACAGCAGCAGCAGCAGCAATCGCAACAACAGCAGCACATGCAGCAACAATACATGCAGGTGCGTTGATGATTTGCATCTCCTTTTCCTTTACCATCGTGTCAAACTTGCTTTCTCTGGCATCCTTTCCTCCGCCTCCCGTCACTTCCACTTTATAACAAATGGTATCGCAAGCACAGTGTATTCAATCGCCAGTAAAGTATAAAATCGTCGTGTAAGGTAATACAATGTACGTACGTTTTCGCAGATGCCACAACAAGTGCAGCAAGTGCCGCAGCAATCTCAGCAGCATCATCAGCAATCGCAGCAGCAGCAGCAGCAGCAACAGCAGCAGCAGCAACAGCAGATGATGCACACGAATCCGTCAAAGAGCGACTCGTTGTCGAGTTCTCCGCCAACGGTGAACTCTGTGACTCAAGCTGCCGCCATGGCCGGTCAGAGATCGACGTCGAACGCTTGCATACGTCACGGATGCCCGAACCCAGCTGTGGCGAACAGCGAATGGGAAGACGAGTATTGCAGCAACGAGTGCGTGGTCAGCCACTGCAGGGACGTGTTCACCACGTGGGTATCGTCGAATCAAAATCCACAGCAAAACTTCTCGACCGTGAAATAAGGACCGTAAAAATCGGTCCAGCTAGGTGAAACGCAGCGATCGTTCGAAATGTTTCCTACCGTTTCTCTCTGGTAGTCGTGGAACGCGGATATATATATTACATATATATATATACCTGATGTTCAGAGCGTGATCCGACTCGATATCTTTTGTATATACGCGATGTCGATCACACGCGCGCGTGTACACACACACACACACACACACACAGACACACCTACCCACACGCCAGCCACATTGCGCGCGCGAGAGCGAAATTTTGTTTCGCGTTAAATCAAAAGACGAAAGAAGACGGATAAAAGCACGCTAAGCGAATCGCGCTACACCGAGCGTATAGGTTTCGTTGGAAAGACTGCCTGCGTAGCAGCACGATGCTCGTCAACGCGAAGTATATACGTATATATCGGCGTTTCACTTTTCCACCGATTACGTTCTTTGTCTCTCTCTCTCTCTCTCTCTTTTTTTTCCTCTTTTCTTTTCACGCGAGGGCGAGCAACGTGGCTGCGTAATCGCGAAAGAGTATTAGTATCGCCAAAGTAGACGATAAATAAAATCGGGCTGTAGTTCGAAGGAATCGATCTCTCGTCGTCGTCGTCGTCGTCGTTGTTGTTGCGCGGAACGTTGACGCGCCGCATATACGCTACCGAAAGGGAAGAGCGAGACGTACACGCGCCAGTGTAAACCAAGTTGCATTCCTTGAACGTCTAGTTAGGGGACCGTTTAACGATAGATAAACAGTAATTTCGTAGAGATATATTCGCAGACTTAGGACATACATTTATTCCAAACCGAGTGCGCAGGCGCATGTGCTGCGCCGTGTCCAAGCGACTTTTATAATCGACGCGTGGGAAGGAGTCGGAGCAGAGAAGGGAAAAGAAGGACTGGCTGCTGCGGGTCGCGAATCGACGACGCAACTTATTTTTCTATAATTTTACAAAGAAGTGTAAAAGTCGCGGAAGAGGTTTCGTGCAAAATGCTCGGGGAAAACACGGATCGTTGAGAACGCAACCTAGGTTTTAGGTTAGGTTTCTTTCCATTCAGCCATTCGTTGCGTGTCGTTTCATTCGGTTGAATCAGTAGCAGGTATCGAATTTGCAAATGCGATCAGAACGAGAGTTATTTATTCCGTGGTGATTCACAGTGACGCGAGTCTCGAGCCGTTCGCGATCGTCGAACGAAACCGAGATTGCGACGATCACGTTCCGGTCACGTTCGATGCGCACGCGCATGCGTATATTCCTCGCCAAAATTTTCGCTTCTCTTCTCGACGGTGATTTCGCACGATTTTTGATTCGAGAGTAACGGCAAGTTACGTTACGTTTGTATCACGAAAGATCGCTTTACGTAACGAAAGTGGCTTTTTCGTAACACAAGACGGTACTACTCGCCCGTTTACGTGTAATACGAGCGCAATACGAACGCGTAGTGATGTCGATGAGTTTCCAATTAAATTCCCCCCCCCCCCTTTCTTTTGTTTTGTTTTTTTTTTCTTTTCTTTTTTAATATCCTTGTATATAAAACAAAAGAATAGTATTCCGTAGATTTGTAAGCTCTACGATGTAAACATAATCTCGATAGTGTAACATATTGATAATGGCATAACACGCGTACACACATACGTATCTGATGTGTGTGCGCGCGTGTCCGTGGTATATAAATAAATTAATGAATATATATACATGTATGTACATATACATATATATATGCATGTATGTATACGTATATATATGTATAAAATGCACACAAACACACACGTACACACACACAAACACATATATTATAGAAATATATAAATGTAAAAATTAATCGGCGACGTCGTGCATACATGTATACATACATAAATAAGTAAGTAAGTAAGCAAAGTAAGTAAATAAATAAGCAACGTATATGTGAATATGCACACGTAGCAAATGTAACGACAACAGCAAAGCGTTATCGTTATTCAGTATAAACAACTATTACATAGAAACGACTACGAATTGGCCGAATTGCCGGAAGCGCCCGAAGCGCGATGAATTTCGCGCACGCGCGTTACAATCTCCGCAAACGTCTCTCCGCCGATCCCGCTGTGGGATCCGGAAGTGAAGAGAGAGAGAGACGGACAACGGGATTAGAGTTTTTCCAGGGTTAGTCGTATTCACGTAAAAAAAAAAAAAATAAAATAAAAAAAATAAAAAAAAATCTGTATACCGAAGAACAAAAAACACAAAAAACAGAGAAAAGACGAAAAAGAGAAAAAAGAAAATAAATTTAGAAAATATCCAACCAACGTTTTCTGTGTTGCCGTACGTAGATGTAAGACGAGTGCTGCTGCTCCTTTTCTTGTATCCCCGTTAGCACGTATTTTGCGTACACGGTAAAACGAGTTTCATTTTTCCTTCCATGCAATTTGATACTCGTAGATATTCGTCGTTTCGAACGGGAGTAAAGTAGGGGACGCGTGTATAGTTTGAGTCTCAAGTCGGAGAAGGAGATGGCGAAAATATTACAAGCATGGGGGAGATGATCGGTAAATGTATGCGTAACACAATGACTATAGTTTTTATTTAAAATTACTTTACGAGGTACATTTATATATACATAAAAAATGTATGACTAATACATTTAAGCTTACGCAATATGGACATATTCGTACACGTGCAATAACGTAATTGTAACACTTTTTTTTTTCCATTTTCATTCTTATACTTTTTTCAAGAGTTTAATTTCTTAATTTGTTTATTTATTAAAATCGGCCTTCGATGCAAATTATCAACGATTTATATCTAACTTGTATCGAGTTCCTACGAACGATACCGGAATGTTGCAAGTTTCTTTTGCCCCGAAACAAATAAAATTCTCGCAAAAACAATGTCAACAACAAGTGGCGCACGACGATGGCCGCCGTACGCACGATCCCGGAGAGTCGGTGATGGAACGAACCGAGTTCGGTCGAATCGAGTCGACGATAGAGAATTACAGTTGGCAGATCATCAGGGAGTGAACCGCCGATCGAAAACGCGGAACAAGTACAAAGGGCAGAGAGGGCTTGCCAGAGCCAGAGCCGAAGGTGAGGACGCGCGTCTTTGTACAACAATAATTGGTAAAAAAAAAAAAAAAGTAAAAAGGAAAGAAAAGCGATTCAGAATCGCGGGACGCGTCGTCGTACGAGTGAACGGAAACGAGGGAAAAATGAAAGATGGGGGGGAGGAAGGATGGTTGGCGACACGAATCGACCGAAAAGAACGTTTCCCGCTCGCGATATTTGCGAAATTTTTGGTAAAAATATGGGACGATACACGACGAACACTTGAGATTCTTACGCGGACACGTAACATCCAACAACATCATCATCATACACATGTATTTTCTCTTGTACTCGACGTGCGCGCGCACGCGCTTCTCTACATCTCGCCCCGCACGCTGCACAAAACAAAAAACATCGGCATTGACGCAGCTCACGCACGCGTACGGATTTTTGCGGAAATGGTCGATCTCGATGGATTCGCTCGCGTTCCTCCGTGTTCTCGTAAAATGCACGGCACAAAAATAAATGCTCCTATTTCGATTACATATATTCTCTTTCTTTTATCCTTAGACGCACCTACATACAAGCACACGCCCCCGTATGGACGAACAAACGCACGCACATACACACACGAACACAAACACACACACTCACGCCGCGCATTCTTTCGTTCTATTCATAACTCTAACGCAATGTTACACGACACGACACGCACTCTCTCTCTTTCTCGCGTACACATCTTTATAACTAACTACAGTTCATGAAATTTTTGCTTTTTACAAAATATCACAAAAATCACACCAGCCTTTGTTCGCGACAAAAAGACAACCAATTTATCGTGTGCTGTGCCGCTCGAAGAAAGATGACGTGAAACGAAACGTCGTTTCGTTAGCCTTAGGCGAACGATTCGCTCGCTTTTCTCGCACCCACCACCCATCTGCTTGCTCTCGCCACCGCTCTTCTCCTCTCGTCGTCGCTTTTTTTGCCTCTGCCGTATGCGTCTCGTTTTCTAAATCATTCGTTTATTCTCTCGTCGCGACTTTTCCCCGTTCTCTCCCCTGCTCTCAACCCTGCTCGCGCTTTAAAAATCTCGTTCAACCTTACTTTCCGCGGCCATTTCTCGAAGGAAACTGTACTCGCACGACCGAACTGCCAGATTCGCTTGACGAAACAAACCTGAATGGGGAAAGGCGAGGCCGCGCGAACGCGTACAACGATTGTACAACAACCGTACGCGTTTCTAGAGCAACTTTGCGTGAAAGCGTAGAAAACACTTAAACCTACTGTCTTTTAGATTTAGTCGAGGAGCTAGTTTCGCGCGATTTCCGCTGACCTTTTTTCTGCTCTGTCCGGCCACGAGATTGGACGAAGCGAACAGCACGACAGCGTGGAAGCGAAAGAGAAGACGCGGAAAGGTATCAATACGCTTTTGTATCAATGACGACGATGAGAACGACGGTGCTTAGTGACACGATGGTGACGACAGTGGCTGCGACGACGACGACGACGACAACGATGGCAAAGGTGTCTCTCGACAGACTCGCAGCAACGGGTTTCGTGTCAACGAGCGCTCATTGTTTTAGAAACAAGGCGACGAAGGAGAAACGACGATAGCCTCGTGATTATTTGGGAAAACGATCGCGAGCAGGTGTCGCGTGCCTCTTCATTTCGCGTCATCTTGTTCCATCGGCTCCTCGGAAACTTCTCGGGAATGTTCTGGGGTAGTAGTCCTGAAAAAGGGAGAATCGTTGGAGGTTATTAACGGAGACAGAGAGAAAGAGAGAGAGAGAGAGAGAGAAAAGACGAACGAGAGAGAAAGAAAGAGAACGGAGAATAGAAGGAACACAGATGGATTTACGTTAGATTGGTAGGCTGCTGCATCGAGAGAGAGGCCATTGCGGAGACCGTCTCGGTTTCGTCGCGCTCCTTTTGTCCGGCTTCGATCGCGCTCATGGACGTCGTGTGCGCGTTCAGTTTGACGCAAGGCCAGTGAGACATCTGCGTATGAACGAGAAACAAGTAACGAGAGAGGAAGGAGCTCGAAACGAAGAGTAACTTTGACGAATAATCTCTGAGAGAGAGATAAGGGAGAAAAGGACAAAGAAGGAGAGGGATGGATGGATGGATGGATGGAGAGACAGAGAAAAAGAGAGAGAGAGAGAGAATGATCGTACCTGCACGGCGATAGTCTTTTGAAGCGTGTCGACCGCGTTCTGGCAAGGTATCCTGGTCAATTCCTCTTGGCGAAGTTGCGTAGGTTCGTCGCCGAGCAGAGCCCGAACGCACTCTTGGGCGGAATCGCAGATGGCGGCCAAGTCGTAACCACCTTCGAGGGCGAGGACGATCTTGCCGTTGGCCAGGCCGAGCAACTGTTGCGTCATTTTGCCGAAGCAGGCGGGACTGACCTTGTAGCCGCCGAGGGGCACCGGGTGGCCAACGGCCGCGTCGAAACCCGCGGAGACGAGGACGATGCTCGGGTCGAAAGCTTTGGCGATCGGCATGACGATCGTGCGAAACGCCGCCAGGTACTCGGCGTCCCCCATCGGAGGATTCAGCCCGCCGGACCAGGCAATGTTCACGTTGTAACCGAGGCCCTCGCCGGCGCCGCACTCGGTCGGTCCGCCGGTCCCTGGAAAGAAGTTACCTTCGTCGTGCCTGTGTATCGACAGGTACAGCACTCGCGGATCGTCGTAGAACATTTGTTGCGTCCCGTTTCCATGATGCACGTCCTGAATGACAGAAAGGAATATTTTTTTATAAAAATATGGCTCTTTCTCTGCCACAGTGGTGTGTATGCGTGTTTGTGTGTGCGTGCGTGTATACAGGATGGGGCATTTAAAAGAAACAGATCACCTGAACAAGACCAAACTTATTTGGTATCGAGGGAGATTTCAAGGTCAGCTTTGTTTCTTTAAAATGGAATACTGTATATATTCTTTGTATCAAAATGTGGAATAATAATGTCAAATTCTGAGTAAAGAAAGCATTCACCCTAATTATTAGCCCTAAACCTAGTAGCCTAGTGTGAATCGTTTCTGGCGCCCTTGCGAAAATTTTCCAAGAAACAAAATGAAACTACTCGTTATCCTACTACTAGGTCAATACTTTCCTTTTACTCGGAATTCGATATTCTTCCATATATATTCTGATATAAAAAATATAGTATCCCATTTGAAAAAAACAAAGTTGGTCTTCAAATCTCCCTGACGCCTCCATCTACAAAAAAAAAATTAGCAACGTTAGATTACGAGCCACCTCGATATCAAACAACAAGTTCGATTCGACGCATTCTTTCTCGCTGTTTCTTCGAAAACAAGCGAGCTGTTCGGCTTATCTGTTTCTTGAATGCCCCAGCCTGCGCGGATGAAACGCGAACCCGACGTTCGCGTGGACGAAAGAGTCGCGGCGAGCAGCAACGATGAAAAATGAACGGCGCGTTGTGTTCTCTTACCCAGTCGAGGATCAAGATTTTCCGAACGTCGAGCTTCTGCTGAAGCAATCGCGCGGCGATCGCGACCGAGTTGAAGAAGCAGAAACCCATGGCTTGATTGGTCTCGGCGTGATGCCCCGGCGGCCGTACGACGGCGAAACCGTTCTTGATGTCGCCGATGGCGGTTTTAAAGGCCAGATCGACGACGCAGCCGACAGCCATCCGGGCGGCTGGCGCGGTATTCAGTTCGTTCCACGTGGTATCGGAATCGACGCCCACTCCGCCGCAGGGCAGCCGCACGAAGCTCTTGATGGGCAGCTGAGACAGCTTCGACACGTCCAACTTTTGACGATTCATCGGGTTCGTTCCTGCGCGAAGCGTGTTATTATCCGTGTTATTCTTTCTCGTTACGGTTTTTCTCTCCTCTCAGAGAGAGAGAGAGAGAGAGAGAGAGGGTGGAGGGAGAAAACCACTCACCAAAGAGAAGGGTGTGAGCTTCGCTGTGACACGTTTGGATCTCCTCGAGGGTGGCCTTGCGCGAGCGTATTCGGTCGCAGCGCTGCAGCAGCCCGGTCTCCGAGAGCCGCGCCCAGACGCTCTGCAACCTGCCTCCGTGCTCCGGATGGCCACGCACCGTTTCGCCGCAGACGCAGGCGTGCTTCAGCATGAGCGGATCGTAGGCCAGGCCGGTGGTTGCGGACCGATGGGAGGAAGCGCGGGCAAACAGGTCGCCGGTGGTTTGACTTGCCTGGGCACCTGGGTCGCGCGCTAGGCAGAGAGAAACAAAGAGAGAGAGAGAGAGAGAGTAGCGTCGAGAGAGAAACAAACGAGGAAACAACGTGGGAACGAGGAGGAAGGAGGAAGGAGGGAGGAGGGCGGAAAGGCGTACCCCGAAGGGGCAAACTTACCCAAGTGAACCAACGGGCTGGACAACGCTCTGGAGAGTGGTCTGGCGCTGGATTGACCGCTTCTACCGGTGCCGGCGGTGACGCTACCGCCACCGCCGCCACCGCCACTGCCACTGTAGGCCGTCGACGATTCGTTCGATATCTGCAACGTGTGTCTCATCATCAGATCCCTCTGCTGTTGGAGAAACTGCTCGCGATCCCGTTGCTGCTTCGAGATCTCGCTCTCCTCCGACAACGAGTCCTTCTTCCCGCCGGTGAGATCGATCACCTCGGCGGACTCGTCGGTCTCCGGCGCTTCGTCCAGCTGGTTCGCCTGGCCCCGCGATCCCACCCGCGTCAACACCGTCTGTCTGATCTGCTGTTTCAGATAGTTGTGCGCCTGTTGTTGCTGCTGCTGCTGCTGCTGCTGCTGTTGTTGCTGCTGCTGTTGATCGTGCAGCTGCTTCTCCGCCAGATACTCCTCGTAGTGGGTCTGCGGCGCGATGATGCCGCCCTGCAGCATCGGGTGACCCAACGGCAACGGGGCGGACTGTGTTCTGCCTGTGGCAACGGAGAGCAACGACCAAACGACCACGCGTGAGCAATGTGTCGGCTTTCGGTTTATCCGCGAGGCGCGCGCCCCTGACGTCCACCCACCTATCTATCCATCTATCCATCCATTTCGTTCGTTCGCCTCGGGTCGATGGCAATGTCTCGATGAAAATTCGATTCGCAAGTGCCAATTGTTGTCGCGGCACAACGCGACGATTCTACGGTCGTTGTCGACAGTAGAGATGATGGCGATGGCGATGACGATGGCGATAGCGATAGCGATAGCGATGGCGATGGCGATGGCGATGGCGATGGTGATGGTGGGCGAACAGGGGTAGCACGCGTGTCGAAAGAAATCGGTCGCCAGCAGATAGAAGAGAGAACATACTACCTAAAGGCCGGTGACCAGCCTTTTGCAGCCTGGCGTGCGCTACTTGCGTGTCCGTGATGGGAGCGGCGGCGGCGGTCGTGGTACCGTGATAAACCGCGGACGGGTGTTGCCGGTTCGTTAACGACGGATGCTCCAGGTTTTGCATCTGCTTGTGAACGTAGCCGGCGCTCGGCGTCCCGACGTCCCCTCCACCTTCGATCACCGTCAGCGATGGGTAGAAGGGCAATGTGCCGGGCAGCATTTGACCGGTGAGAGGCATCCCTAGTCGCGCGGTGAACGCCGCGCGCACCTCCGCTTCCGAGACGGTGGCCAATTTCGTGCCGGTCTGCCGAAACAAGAAGAAACACAATACACAATACACAGTCAAGAATCATTTCTTCTCTATTGCAATCGGTATTTATAAACACATTGTGGACGGGGAACGCTTTTTAAGGGACACAATATATACAATAATATATAATTATATTATTACAATGTTATATACAATTTTTCAAGAAGTTGGGAAATTGTTTCCACACCAAGAAACGTTAGTAGAGGTATTTTCATTTTTTATTGAATGAAATATCTCGAAAATGAAAAATAATTAATAATTTTAATTGTTAATGAAATGATACACTTGTTAAATGCTGTACATTCTCTTGAACCCTTTCTTAACACTGAATGTATTCAAATAATTAAAAAAATACTAGAAAATACAGGCTATTGTTCATCAGAGCATACCGTCCTCAATGTGTTAATATAAATATGAAATAAATAATAGTTGAAATCTAAAATAGATTATGATAAATAGATTATTAAATATTACTATAAAAAAACATATAGTAACATTTAAGAATATTTCATCAGTGTGAATTAAAGAAGTGCATATATGCATTGTAATACAAAGTTTCCCTGTTGCTCCAAAAATGTGTGGGCCCTGGGAGCATAAATATAAAACAAATAGTTGAAGTCTAAAATACATATAGTATAATAAATATAATAAATCTTGAATTACTATAAAAAAAATATATAGTAACATTTAAGAATACTTTATCAATGTGAATTAAAGAAGTGCATATATGCATTGTACAAAGTTGTTTCAAAAATGTGGGCCCTGGGAGCATAAATATAAAATAAATAATAGTTAAAGTCTAAAATAATAGTTAAATATAAATATAGTTTCTTGCATATTACTACAAAAAATATGTAGTAACATTTAAGAATACTTTATCGATGTGAATTAAAGAAGTGCATATATGCATTGTACAAAGTTGTTTCAAAAATGTGGGCCCTGGAAGCATAAATATAAAATAAATAATAGTTAACTATAAATATAAAATAAATAATAGTTAAAGTCTAAAATACATAACAAAAAAAGTAGTTTCTTAAATATTACTATAAAAAAAAAATATAGTAACATTTAAGAATATTTCTTCAGTGTGAATTAAAGAAGTGCATATATGCATTGTGCAAAGTTGCTTCAAAAATGTTTGGATCCTGGGAGCATAAATATAAAATAAATGACAGTTAAAGTCTAAAATATATAATAAATGTAGTTTCTTAAATATTACTATAAAAAAATATATAGTAACATTTAAGAATATTTCTTCAGTGTGAATTAAAAAAGTGCATATATGCATTGTACAAAGTTGCTTCAAAAATGTGGGCCCTGGAAGCATAAATATAAAATAAATAATAGTTGAATATAAATATAAAATAAATAATAGTTAAATATAAATATAAAATAAATAATAGTTAAAGTCTAAAATACATAATAAATATAGTTCCTTAAATATTACTATAAAAAAATATATAGTAACATTTAAGAATATTTCTTCAGTGTGAATTAAAGAAGTGCATATATGCATTGTACAAAGTTGCTTCAAAAATGTTTGGGCCTTGGGAGCATAAATATAAAATAAATGATAGTTAAAGTCTAAAATATATAATAAAAGTAGTTTCTTAAATACTACTATAAAAAAATACATAGTAACATTTAAGAATATTTTATCAGTGTGAAGTGCATATATGCATTGTTAATACAAAGTTTCCCCTGTTGCTCCAAGAATGTGCAGGTTGAGGGCGGCAAAACAGGCAATGTGTTTTAAGATGAATCGATCGAGAAGCGATCCTTACCGTGCTGGAACCGGATGGAACGTGCGGTCGTCCCAGCGAGATGTTTGGCATGGACGGTGAACTGAACAGCGACAGATCCGAGAGGCTACCTTGCTGACTGCTGCTGGTCAACGGGCCGCCGTAGCCGGTGTTTTCCGTCTCCTGTAAACGGATGAGAGAAGAGAGAGAGAGAGAGAGAGAAAAGGACAAACGGAAAGAAATGAGAGAAACGAGGAAGAAGGAGAGGACAGCGACGTTACAAACGACAACACTCGACTGTCGGTCAGTGCGTTTGCACTGTTGGCGCGTACTACTCACTTCTTGGATGGCTGCCGCTGCGTTTCCACCGGCGGTGGGGCTCGCCTGAGAGTTGTTTACGGTCGGTGGTGAATTAGGCCCAGATTCCGGATTGCTGCTAGAATCTGGAAATCGTTCGATGAGCGAGCGACGATCTACGTGGGCGAGAGGTGCCTGCCAGCAACTGGTCTCGCGTACGACGAGGCGGAATCGGTGGAATTGGGGGGAAAGGGCATGATACGGTGCACGTTTCCCTCCAATTCCGTCGCACGTCTGTCGCTCTGTTCTGTTCCGTTCCGTTTCGTTTCGTTTCGTTTCGTTTCGTTTCTATCGCCAACGCGAAACGACACGAAAAGCGAATCTATCTTCTCTCCGAAAAACGAAATCTCGGGTTTCGAAAACGAAAGCGAAACGTAATTAAAACGTAATGGTTAATCGGTAAACGTTTGTTTGTTGTCGTACATGCTGTTACTGGACACTGGCAAAGAAAGGCAAAGAAAAAGAAAAGAAAAAAAAAAACGAAAACGAGTCAACGATCGATTAATCGAAAACAATAATCGGTGGGTGCAACACGGTTTAAACAATCGGTTTATACTGATATATGCTTCACGCAAGAACGCTAGAGAGAGACAGAGAGAGAGTCGACTCGACTCGACTCGACTCGACTCGACTCGACTCGACTCGAACTCCGAACATTTCGATTAAGCTCGATCGAAGGACATACTTGCTAGCAGTGATTTCCGCTTGAGGTGCGACAGCAGGCGATCCTTCCGGCGTGCCATCAGCGGTGAATTTCTCGACGCGGCCATGTTCCTCTCCACGCGTTGCTTTAGTCGCACCTTCAGCAGGTTCGGCTCCGAGGCTGGCCAATTTTAGCCAGGGTTAGTTGTTGGTCGTCGTCGTATCGGGCCGGAGGAGTAGCGTGAAACGGTGGGGCACACGGTGAATCGGGGAATCGAGGAATCGGGCTGGGCGAGGAGAGCGAGGGGAGCGAAGAAGAAAGGTGGAAAACGCGAAACACGACCAGCGAGCTTCTCGGGCGAAAAATTCCTCACTAGCCACCTGGCGATGAAACAACCAGCCAGGTGGCGTTTATCACGTTGATCGGAAATCGGTAACGTAGTGATGGTATGTGTGTCTGCACGGATCATCGATGGACGAGAAGCTCGCGATCGGGAAATACACCGGGCTGTCCCAAAAGTATCCGACCTCTGCATATATAACTTTGTCCTTGAGTATCCAATTGTGAAAAGCAGGTATGGAGCACTTGTGGGAAGGGGGGGGGGGGATTCTTTAGGAGTACCCCTTACCGATTTTCAAAAACCCAAGACTGTTCAGTTGACAGTAACACGCAGTTTTGCGAACGTCAAGTTCCCGGAGCGTCGCGTTACACAATGACAATTGGAGCAAGTCGAGCAAAGAATTTGCATCAAGGTTTGCCAAAAAAAAAAAAAACCTGTTCGGATGATTCGGAAAGTTCCCGGAGTGACACACAGGTCAGCGTTGGGCATATTTTATTCGAACGACGAATAAGTCTGTCGAATTTATTTGTAAATAACGAACAACGAGGAAAAATTATTCGTTATTCACGAATAACGATTTTATTCGAACAAACGAATAAAATTTTATTCGAAGAATTAGCTCGAAATGCTATTCGAAGAATTTGTTCGAAACGTTATTCGAATAAAATTTTTGTCGAAGAATTTGTTCGAAATGTTATTATAAAATAAAATTTTTAATAAAAATTTCATTGGTAGAATTTATTCGAATAATGTCCAATTCTGGATGAAGGAATGATTTAACCGCTTTAAAGACGAGCGTGTCTCAGTGATCCTCGTTTTGGGAGGCCTTCAACGTCGAGGAGAAACGTGTTCAAACCGCGATCAACGAAAATAAATAAAGAATATTATTTAGAAGTGCTGAAGCGATTGCGCGTGACGGAGGAAACGTTCGCATCTTTGGGAAAGTGAAAATTGGTTGCTGCACCTGCTCGTTCCGCTCAGATTTCGTTCAAGATTTCTTAGTAAAAAGTGACGGCAGGTCCGGATCTAGCACCGCGTGATTTTTGATTATTCCCAAAACTGAAAACAACCGTCGAACGGCCAAAGATTCGACGTCGAAGCAATGAAACGCGACGCGGCAGCTGCTAGCCACAAAAAAGGAAAAGGACTGCGAGTGACTGAGAAGTGGACCGTCACAGAGTCGGAAGGGAACTACTTTGCAGGTGATGACGTCGGTGGAAATTACCCCGGGATAGGTATTAAATTATTATGTTTTGAGATGCGAGCAGAGGTCGGATACTTTTGGGACAGCCCCTCGGTACGTCTCTCGGTGCGCGCCGTTGTGTGTGTCTAGGTCTTTCTTCCCGTATTTTTCTGTATCGATCTGTCTCGGTCTGTCAGCTGTCTGTCTCTGTCCGTTCGTTGTCGGTGTAGCTCTAGTAGGCGAGTATACATTCGTCCACAGGCAAGATGATGATCGGGGATCGCAAAAAAAACCATGCTTTAGTTGAGGCATTCTACTATCGTACAATAGGCACACATAGAAAGAGACTATTATCTTCCACCAAATATATGCTTGTCACTCGATAACACGGGGAACTTACGATAGTGTGTAACGGATGTTTTTGCGCGCGCTCGCGCCTACGTACCTGTCTTCCGAAGCGGGAAATCGTCGGCAAACTTTTCCTGCAGCATCTGCGGCAGCCGGTATGGATGCGAGGCGTTCGCAGCGCCGGCCGAGTCCGCCGACTGCGGCTGCAACCTGACCAACACAAAATCCCAACGTCTCCTCGTTCAATCCCCGTCTCTATTTCGTTCCCTCGTTCGCTCGTTTCGTGGATCGAGAACCGACCGACTCGCTGGATCCATCGATCCGACGACATTCTGACCCAACTGAACCGCTCGCCCCTCTCCTCGAGTACATCCCCTCGTGGGATTTTATTCTCGTCGAACACGGCGTGGCGGAAATAGAATGCATGGAATGCAAATGGAGAGAAAGAGAGAGAGAGAGAGAGAGTTACAGGCGAAAGCGGAAAATATCGTCGCGAAGAGGATGTACTCGAGAAAGTCGAAGGAACGGTGGATGAGAATCCGCGCGAGCGAGCGAGCGCGAGAATCGTCAACCACGGGGGAAGAAAAATCTCACCAGCTTCTGTATCCGGGTGTACCAGGTACCGCCCCGTTTGCAGCGGCCGCCGCCTCCCTTTGCTTCTTGTTCACGAGAAAGCTCTGAAAAATCGTAAGGTTCCTCTCTCAGCGCAAAGACTCGCAACCTTCTCCCTTTTCTCTTTTATCCTTCCCCCATTCTTCCAAGTACGAGATTACACGGTGGAGCGGCGAGGAGAGCGGCGCGATGCATGTTTATAGTGACGCGAGGAGTGAAATGCTACAGCGAGTAGTATGTCTCAACGTATCTTCGAGGAAGCAGCAAAAACTCGTGCTTGTTGAAAATTATTGCGATTAAATATCACACGTTAACGTCGTATCTTGCAAAAAACAGGATCAGAAGATGGGAAAAAAAAGTAATAGAAATAATAAAATAAATAATAAAAAAAAAACAGAAATAATAGATATATAAATACTTTGACCTTCGATTGAATGCTATTGAATGCGATAGAATGCTACCGAATACATCCGAATGTTGCCGAACGCGTTGGTCTCCGCTAGTGGAAACAAACCTTTTTTTATTCTAGCCGCACCGCTACTATACGCTGCTCCACTACAAACACTTCCATTGTTACATTACATTGGTTTGTTTTGTTGCGACGATCACCTCGCCATACCACTATAATGGTACCCTAAAACACACACATTGCTCGTTTTCCTGTCGTCGATTAAAATTTTTATGAAACAACGTTCGCCGTTTGGCTAACCTAAATCTAATCCACCCCATCTATCGTGTTTCCTGTTACTGTTGTTAATATTACTATTATTGTTGTTGCTACTGCTGCTGCTACTAGTCTCTTCCGTTCTGTTTTATCGGCCGTCAGCCACGACGCAATCCTCTCTTCCCACATACACACACGCACACACACACAGACAGACACAGACACAAAGATAAGTTCGGTCCGATACCACCGAGCCTTGCCCGCCATTCAAGTACCTGAAGTCGTTGCTTCACCTCCGTCGAAGCGATCGCGCTGTGGTCGTGCTTATCCTTCTTCCTCAGTGCCTCGAGTCTCTCTTTTTCTCTCCTCTGTTCCTCCAGCTGTTTTTGCTGCTCCCAGAGCTACAACAAACAGAAAGAGAGAGAGAAAAAAATCAGAGAAAAACACGACGAAAAAAAGAAAGACAGGTCGCTTCGATCGATAACGAGAGCGGTAGGTACGACAGCGATGGTCGATATTATCGTTCGTACGTTCGAGAGGGTATGGTAAAATAGGGTAATTATTTAGAAAAGGGGAGTACGTCTCACCGATTTCGACGATTTTTAGATATGTTGTAGAAATCAACATTTTGAACAACTTCTTCCTATAACGTATAACCGCCGCTCGATCTTAGTTTCCGAGATTTTTGCAAAAAAACCATTGCTACTACTACAATGAATATTGCCTGTAGCTACGTGTCTGTGACAGACGTTGTGTATAAGCGTTGAGTCGCCGATTGTTTAGTTTCTATAGATACATCGAGGTGACCGGCAATGGACGCGTATAACGGGCGTACTTAAAAACTCGATTTGAGTAGCCGGCTGCCTCGCGGCGGCCGGGAATAAAAAAGACCTAACCCGAACCTAATCCACTGAATTAGTTGCTAGGTAGAATAGTTAGGTTTGAGTAAGGTTCGAGTTAGGTTTTTCTGTTCCGGCCGCCACGAGGCCCAAATCGAATTTTTAAGTACATCCGTTACATTGTCGGCCGCCTCGACGTATTTATAAAAACCATAAACAATGGGCGACTCAACGCTTACCACACGCTGCCACAGACACGTAGTAGCTATAGGCAATATTCATTGTCTATGGTAGCAATAGTTTTTTGCAAAAATCTCGGAAACTAAAGCCAAGCGGCGGTTATACGTATAGAAAAAAATTGTTCAAAATGTTGATTTCTACAACTTGTTCAAAAATCGTCGAAATCGGTGAAACCTTCCCCCCCCCCTTTTTTCTAAATAATTACCCAAAATAGATAGACAGAAAAGGGAAAGTTGAACGACAAGAAGAGAGACGAAAAAGGGAGAAAAAGGGAGAATTCCACTCTCTTTCGTCGTGGATTACCGGCACGAAAATGAACGAATGGAGGAGGCAGCCATTCTTTAGCTGCAACTTACTTTTAGCTGATGCATCTGTTGCTCGTGCAACTCGGTCAAGTGTCGCTCCTGGGCTTGATATTGTTGCCGCAGAATTTGCTGTTGAAGTTGATGTTGCTGCTGTAGCTGAAAAACACAAGCGACGCATCGAGACTTTGTCTCAAACGCACGGAACGAGGACTTTGAAACTTTGAAGGCGTTTGGCTGACACAGGCACAGGCTCGCGGCTCGAAATTCGAGAAAGAGAAGTTCGTAGGGGGTTGGAGAACCTGTACGCCGAGACAGCTACGAGAGAACAGCGCGTGCGCATCCTCCACGAGGATGAAGGAGAACGTTCCACGTTACCTCGAGTATCTTTTGTTGCAGCACGTGGCCATGGAGGGCAGCTGGATCGCCGGAGGTAGCGTGATAGCCAGCCGATGTCAAGGTGGTCGCAGCACCGCCAACTCCGCCGACCAAGTCTCTCGATCTGGACATCGGTGAGCCTGGCGTATCCCTGGCCATCTCTGTGTACACGTATATATACACACACGTACACATACACGCGTGTCTATGTCCAAACGCGTACACGCATTCGCGCGTACATATAATAAGTAAAATAACACGATGCATAACACGTATACAGGGTGGGTCGCCATCTAAATTTGCGTCACTGTTATTACGCGTGGCGGAAAATGTTTCAGATGAAGTTGAATGGTTTCGAGAGAGGCACACTTTGACGATACTAGCTTTCTTGCAGGTGGACATATAAAGGTCATTAACGTTTCTTTAAATGGAATTGTACATTTTTCATTGCATTTTCAGTTGATGCACCTTGATATCCCTTACAAAAAAAGTATTAACCTATTTATGTTAAAAAAATCATTAGTTTAGGAGATACTTTAATTTTAATGTTGTTAGGAAATAAGGTGTATGACGCTGAGCCTCCATTCCATTTAAAAAAAAAACGTTAATGACCTTTATATGTCCTCTACACGTCCACCTGCAAGAAAACTAGTGTCGTCAAAACGTGCCCCTCTCGAAACCATTCAACTTCATCTGAAACATTTTTCGCTACGCGTAACAACAGTGACGTAAATTTAGATGGCAATATATGGTGACCCACCCTGTATGTATGTATGTATGTATGTATGTATGTATGTATGATGTATGTACTTTTGTGTGTATGTGTATGTACGCAGCGAGTTGCGAGTTTCAAAGAAATCGACCACCACGCGATCGGATCGGATCGGATCGGATCGGATCGGATCGACTCGACTCAACGTTGGAAATATCGATGGAAACAAGATGGTTGGTCGCAAGGACGTAAATACCTGACCGCGAGAACCACCGGAGTAACGAGCTTGATCGTTAAACGGTCGGTGGTCAGTGGCCGATGGTCGCTGGTTGGTGGTCGGTGATCGGTGATCGGCGATAGGTGGTCGATCGCTCAGACGCTCGATACCAAAATTCTATTTTTACAATAAACGTGTGTCGTGCGCGACAAGTATGTACCAAGTGTATGTACTTTCGATCGCGTTTTAATCGAGCATCACGACTCGTCTCCGTCTCCGAATGGCCGATGGTGTTTGGCGTCCGGAACGTGTTCTGCTTCCAACGTCGCCGCAACTTTTCTTCCTCGAGGAGAAGAAGAAGAAGAGAAAGAAGGACGAAAAGAGCAACGCGACGTGTTTCGTTTCGTTTCGTTTCGTTCCGTGAAACATATTATCACAGATATATGAACTAAATCTAATTTTCAAGTTCGATCCCGACTCTCGCTTCTTTCCTTTCTTTTTTTTCCTACTCCTTTCTCGCTGCTTACCTTTCTGCGGTAGATGCGTAAACGCGGACGCGATCTCAATGCTCCTGTAAGCCACGTCTTCTGAAACAAAGGGAAAAGGCAAAGCTTTAGTCGCTGTTGATTGCGCGTTATGACTGCGCGCACAAACGAACGAACGAACGAACGAACGAACGAATCTCGGGTTAATCCTCGGAATCGGAATCGCAGTCTCGAATGGAAACGGAGAGAGCGAGAACCGAGGCGGCTCGAGCACGAGCGAGCGTCGAGTTAGCGGACGAGCAGAGGTCACTGCACGCTGCGAGAATTCCTTCGAGTCAAGTCCAAGGTTAATCGCGGAGGAGGGCCGTTCCTCGACAGCCTCGCTCTGCTCTTCGCCTCTCTTTCCATCCTGTTCCTGTTACCATGTCCGAAACACCTACCGATCGCACCGTTCCTTCCAATCGCAACGCGTCGAACGCTTTATTTCCGCATTTCCCTCTCCCCTCTTTTTGCTTATTTCTTCGAAAACTCGTTACATCCCCGTAAGCCGAAATGTTCTTCGTCGAATCGGCTTCGATACGTCGATGCGAAAGCGTGTTCTCTTTGATCGCTTGGAAAGGGAATGTTTTAAATTTGCTAATTTACCGACCACCGTCTACAATTGCGCTAGACTAGACTGACGCCTGTGAAGATAATGGCGATGATGAGGACGGTGGTAATGATGATGATGACGATACCAACCGAGGCAATTACCGGTAAAGTAATTGTCAAGAAAGAGCGAGTAGTCTGAACGTACGCGACGTTTCAATTCGTCGTAATTTTGCTCAGTGTGCGAGAGGAAAGAAGACCGATCGAGGAAACGAGCAGTGTGAAATCAAGTCGGACGTCAAGAGAGAATCGACGGTGGATTCGACGCAACGCGCGCCGTTATTATTAGCGAACGAATGTCGGTGTGTAGGTCAGGCGACTAACTAACGTAAAAAGAGAAAAATGTAACCACGCGCATGCGCGGTCGTTTCAGCGAAATCCGGCGGTGTATCTCGTATTTTGTAACTCGTAGTTTCGTACTTTTCTTGTCAACTTGCAATTTTTCGCTGGTCGAATCGAACGACAGTTCGCTAGTCGAAATGAAATGAAATGAAATGAAATGAAATGAAATGAAATGAAACGAAACGATGCGAAAGTCCAGAGAAACTTCAAGAGCCACGCGATTGCGCTTCGAAGAAAAGGCAAACTGCAGAGCGGAAACTGGAAGACGTCTCGCGTCTCGTCTCGCCTCGCCAAGCCTCGCCTCGTCGCGTCGATTTACCAAAAGATCGGTCGGTGCGAGTGGGACGAGGAAGGCCGAGAGCAACACGGTCAAACCGAATCTTTACTCGTGTTCCTGGCTGGTGGCCGACTAGCTAAGATTAGACGAACGTCCGCTATATATAGGATGACATTTATATACGCACCTACTAAACGCGACTGTACACTGCACGCTGTACGCTGTGCACGCGTTTCCTCCTGCTTCTTCTCTTGTTCTCTGGCTCTTCGCCCGTTCGTTCGTTCGTTCGTCTGTCTGTCCTCACGCACCCACGCACACACAAACACATACACATGCAACTTTCTCCGTTCGTCCATTCGCATCTCTCCTTTCAAATCATCGTTCGTTCGAGTTACGTGTTGTTACGTTTGGTCATTTTTCTTACGAACGTGTCGCAGATTCCATGCTAATGTCATACACTCTGTGATCAGGAAAAATTGCTCGAAAACTGCAAGAGATATACAGATTCTTGTACATATATCTTTTGGAATTCAACGAGACTCTAGCCACTCCAAACTAATTGCTCTGCGTAATCATTCTCTCTGTGTGTGACGACAGCGCAACCGTCTCTAACGGACCGTCAGACGTAACTGACTATAACGCAAACGTACATACATACATAAACGTTATATCACGCGTATTTTCCTCGACATTTTCGATCACGACTGTATTCAGCTCTGGAGCAGTCTCGCCAAGTGAAAAACCAAAGGAAACGAAGGAGAGTTTTCAACAGAGTTGAAGAAAGTGAACTCTATAACTGTAGAATGGTTTGCATAGCAGATTGGACAAAGAGTAACTGCGTTTTCTTCTGTGTGCAAATGAACGGCGAATTTCTCACGAGAAACAAAAGCTTTATCACACAATGGATCGTCCATTTCGTTGGATTATCTCTCGCCATCTTTCAGACAACTTTGATAGCGATTTCGCGTTCGAAAAAGTTTTCATCGTTTCCGGTTCCAAGGCCGAGGATTTGATATCCTCGTGAGTAGTAGAAATTTAGCAAACCAATTCTGACACTGCTGGCAATTTCTTCGCCACGCGAATCGGTGTAATTTTTCACTCGGCCTGCACACAGAGTTTCTTTCCTTTTCGGACGTGATATACTCAAAATATGGCGAAAACCCTTCCTTTTTGACTTATCATTTTGAAATCGACGCCAGCTGTCAACAGTTGAGAGGTCGTGCATTTTCTTTTTCTAAAACAAGCTCGAACAATCTAGTGAATTTTAGATTAGCTTAAAATGAACTTAGAAAAAAAAAACTATTTTATTAGGAAAAAAAAACGCAATTACTTTTTGGCTGAGCTCGGTAGTTGGCAACCAAGGCAATGTGAAACGACGCGGGAACCACCCGGGACAACGCGATCACGCCAGTCTGACCGCGTGGGCGTCTACCAGTCGCATACAATGCAACTATGTATATATAATATGTATGCGCGTACGTACGTATGTATTTATGCACGCACGTATGTACTGCATACTTGCTCGAGATTCGAGGAAACCAACCAAGAGGAAGGAAGACCAATGACCCCGCGGTGGAAATGTGATATCGAAACAACGTAAATTGACTCGATTCTCACCGACAATAACAACACCGTGCTCGCTTCCCCATCTCTCTCTGCATCTTGCGTCCTCGACTTGTCCTCGTCAACTTCCTCTATCTATCTTTGTTCTATTCGCGGGACGTTTGGCGTTGGCGAGCTGAAGTTTCAACGACAGGTTGCAAAACGAAACGAAACGAAACGAAACGATCCGATTGGATCCGCGATACTTGATCGTTTGCGTTCTAAATTGAACTCGTGACTTCGTCTAAGTGGCAAGAATGATTCCAGTGACGTCAAGCACGTTTCAGTTTCTGCCCCTTGTCGCGGCTCGTTCCCGAGACTATTCGCACGCGCTAAAAAAGAATTGGAAACAAATTCGCTCGATGGAAATGTGCACGCCGCTATGTATATAGGTAGCAGGTTAGACGTTTCACGCCTATCACGCATCGAAAGTTAAGTAGAAAATTAAGTAGAAAAGAAATTGGATCGACGTTGGGAGAAGAATCGCGGTGGTTTCGGATTCGGAAGTGAAGAACGTGGACAAGTGGCGTGCGCATGCGCGCTTTCGCCCGCCATCACCCGCAAACGTCAGTTTATCGTGGAAAAACGATGAATCGTGTTTGCGCGCACATGCGTGCTAACGCGTGACCCGATGTTGGCGAATCATGCAAATACCAACGCGATCCCCCCTGTTCGTCTCGCAGTCCTCGCACCAGAGTTCGTTCCCCCGTTGCACCAACTCTCTGTCGCGAGTCGCATCAGTTCGAGAAACACAAAACTCTAGAAACTAGTCCACCAACTGGTCTTTCTTTCCGTCTCTTCTTTGTAGGTGCAAACGCGTGCAATCACTGTAACACACTGCGCAGCAGACGCGCGCGCACACGTTCGCGTGTCTGTTCTTCATTTTCCGCTTTCTTTCTTTCCTCCTTTTTATTTATTTTTTGTTTATTTTTCCTTTTTACTTCTTTTTGTCCCTTCGAAACATTTCCGTTCGATATTGCCTGGACTTGTACCGACCGACACGACCAACGACGAAGCGGACATCGAGTACCAAAGACTCGTACGGAAGAAACGATAACACTTTCAGTGAAATTGACAAACGTCAATTGCAGCGTTGGCTTTCATCTCCGAAGCCAGGACAAAAACCAGTGAAAACCGAGGTAAAATAGGGAAAAAGAGATGGCGGAGAGAATGGAAGAGGCGGGGAGAGGTGGCGGGGAGAGAGAAACCAATCGGACGACACAAAGTTACGGACGGGCGAAGCTAGTCGCACAACAGGTGTCGGTTGATTTAGAAATGGGCTTTGAGTCGCGATACGCGATACAGGCTCGAGACTAGTTTCGTACTTTCCCTCGCTCGGATTTCGCGCTTGAAATAAACAGCCGGAACCCATCGAGCGTTGATGAGGGTGAAAAATATAATAGAGAAAAGGAAAACAGGATTTCGTGCGACGCACAAGCGTACGAAATGGCTGTATATTTGAATTGCGTCGAGTTTTGACGAAGGTGGAATTTTCGTACGTGACGTAGAAATCGTTTATCGGCGATCGTGTCACAAAAATGTCGGAATGTCGTGAAATCGAAAGAAGAAAATAGATCGGAGGAACAATCTGGAGAGAAGCGAACAGAAGCAACAACAACAACAACAACAACAACAACAACAACAACAACAAAGTGGCAGAAACAGAATAAAATGAACATGGAAGAAAAAGGAGAGTGCAGGGGGATCGTCGTCGACGGATTTTCGGTCGTTGTTATCCGAGTGCGAGCACAAAAAACCTGAGACACAATTCCAGTTGGTGTTGCCTGCACTTGCCGCGCGCACTCTCATCACTCTTTGCACCAAAACGAAACACAGAAACCAACACCGCCGCCGCCGCCGTCCCGTTTTGAACAGCAATCGCACCGATCGACTCGTCAACGAATCAGATTGGAGCGGTAAATGCCAAAAATAGCGGCTTACGTTTTATCGAAGATGGGCCATCGAATCGGTCCGATGAGTCGACGTGTGCTAGGTTGTAGAAACGCCGATAAGGACGGTGGATGACGATAATAATGTTGACGACGACGACAACGATGCAGATAGTTTTGGAACGGTGACGGAACGTAGATACAGAATCGCGGATTTGCTGGGACTGCGCGCGCGATACGCGCCAACGACGTTTCTTTCGCGATTCTCTTGCATTCTCCGAGAGTGCCGCGCGCATACGACGACAGCGCCCTGCCGCGCCAGACTCGCGAACCTCGGCTATTTA